GAGTTAGGTTACAATTTACCCTCCTAAATAGTTAATCCGTCTTTCCCCAAATTCGAATACCCTAAACGCTTTCTCATAAAAAACAAAGAAACTTAATGATACTTTTGACTCACTAATCGATGTGCCAAAACTGTTCCACACTAATAAACCCATAGGAAACATTAAAAAAGTGGATCTGATAAATAGGTACCTACAATGAGAAAAAAATCTGCATTGTATTAAGTCAAAGGTACTATTAAAACGTCAAAATAGAATAGGTTGTCGGTCTGTTCGTCAGTGAAGCTAGGTGCTCGTTCAAATTCGATTGAAGAAGAATGAAAAAAAAAACACAACGCTTCACAATTACACCAATACATTATTTAATACACATTATTGTAACCATATTTGGTTGTTAAAAAAGAAAAAGTTCTTATAAAAAGAACAAAGAATTGGATCAATAATATTAGGCTATTCCTAAAGATAGATTACATGTTAGAAGAACCCAACCTCTACCAGTCAGTTGGAAAGGTATTGCCTAACACGTTTAGCCAGGCGTTTTAATAAATGCTTTGCTCTTTTGCATTTGCAATCTAAACACATACATATATCTACATATAAATTAAACAAACAACACCAATCAACAAAAAATATTAATGAAGCTTAAAAATAGTATGCGTTGTTTTCACATACATGTAGGCGCTAAGTGCTTTGTAGGACTAATTACATGCAATTACATGTTTTGAATTCTAAAACGCTGATTTAGTTTTTTCTTTGGTATTTTTGAAACGTTATTTCAATTATTGCTGCAAAAGAGAGTGACAGACTCTTACAGGCTAAAAATAACCACGTTATTATCCTGCTTCAAATAAAATTGTTTTGACCCACAACCTCCGCTCTTTCACTGATCTGTTTTCAGTTTTAGTAACTGCTTCGTAACCATAGTGTAAAACCGAACCTTATTACGAAGACTACGCTGTTTGACCGTCCGTCTATCGGTGACTACCAACCAGTCAGACAGTTGATATTTATAAAAATTATCTAAGTACATATTTCTGTTGCTAATATAACAACAAATAAGTACGTTATAAATTCAAATAAATATCTAACAATGTTTCGTATATAACAAATGACTTTTTTGCTCACTTAAACAGTCAGTGGAATTCTTTCGTGTTGCCTTCGCGGTCGAGTCTGGCTCCAAACTTAGGTTTTTATGTTTATTAGTATTCTTACATAGGTTTGTTCGGTAAGTTTAACTGCGTTTTTGTATTCACTCAACTTTTAAGAGAGCCAGGATTTAAGGGCGGCTTTCAAAGTTTTGCCAATAATGAAAACTAACATTCAGGTAATGGGTAGCTTCGGACGATGAGTAAGGCTTGCGCGCTGCTCGACCAGATCCAGACCCGAGCGGACGGCGCGTAGCGTTCCGCGCGTGCCTCAAAGAGTCAATAGACCACCACAAACGGGGCCCTATAGGGCTGATGTTCAGCCGGGGTTGCGGGTTAAGCGCAATGAGTCACCGCGGCCTCGATTCAGAGCAGGAGAAGGAACGTCGTTTTTAGTCAGTAAGAGTCTGACACTCTCTCTAAAAAAGGTATTGGGTAGCTTTTTTGAGGGGTAATATAGTAGGGCGAAAGGGAGTACTAGATCTTACTAACAAAAAACACTTCTTTCCTTCTCCCACTTCAGATAAATTATTAAAACAATGAAACATGAATTTAATTTTTGCAAATAGGCCATAAAACGGCACTTTTACAGGTCAATTTATATGTGAAAAACTAGATGAAGCCGGCATTTCCTATCTAACTACTCTGAGAAGAAATGCCAAAACAAATTATAATTATTATTGCGCTTGTCCTAGCAACCCCAGCGCTTAATGGGTGACTTACGACAAACTCTAACAGCCTGACTGTAAGGTCCACAGTTAAATATAAATAATAACTATACTGAATCTTCTCAAATGTAAATAGATGCTAATACGCCACTGGAAAATTAATGTTTCACAAAAACACACACACAGACGCAAACTATTTTGAAAGTTCGTTAGCCTTGACTATTTACATAAGTAAATAACTTTAGTTTATATAGATAAATAAATCTACTTGTTCTACTAGGTTAACCACCATGGTCAAAATTAATTAGGTGGTAAAGAATTCAGTGTCGTATTTTTTTTAAAGCAATTAAATAAGATTCTGGAGCACAAGGAGTGGTCATTATAGCGCGGTACGAATTGTACCTTCATTCCCTGATCTTTTTAATAAAAAATTGGGTTACAAAAAAGGCCTAGGCTACAATTATGATCTTTTTTCTTTTTGATCTTTGATCTTTGGTTTGTTAATTAATTATTTTGATGAATAACTATCTGTCTTCGACAACTACAAGTGATATGTGCAAAAATGTGGCTGGCTGACTCTTATAAAAACAGACCAGATTATCTACAAGATATTACGACCTTATGCAGTTTGTTCTTAAGGTCATAGTCGCCTACACTCGCGTATTCATAATTAGATAGGTATTTGATTTAGTTAAAAAATACGTCGACTTTTTATCGTTAAAATATATTTGACTGCGCTGTTAGGGTAGTGGCTGGGCAACTGGCTGCTGCGCAATGTGTCGCGGATTCGATTCCCGAACAAAGCAACAATTTGTGTAACTCTTTGTGAACTTATGTTTTTTATATTTATTTATCTTTTACAAAAAAAATACAAATTTTGGGTAGTCAAATAGTACAACCAAAAAGCACTAAGGTTTAACCTTGATGTGAATGTGAATTTGCATGAACGCAATCTCGACACCGAAGAAACTGCATCTGAGGAGCGATGTAAAATTTACGAAAAATATGATTGAAAATAAAATGCTATGAGGCTTTTATTAATCGGTTTGCTTTTCTACCAAATTTATAAGGACTACTCAATTTACTAATAAGTTTTGACTACAACTACTTGATCTAATACAAAACTTCACGGTCTATAATACAAAATTCATATAAAACTATAGATTTTGACACTTCTAAAATTGTTTTGAATTTAACTTGGTGTTAAATAGGTGCCCAATTTGCATTGATTAATACTGAATACCAATTGCAGGTTGCATATCAATGCCCTTTTCACAATATTGAACCTCCTTTTTAATATTGTATTTTATTTAAACTGATTAGAATATTTGTTTATTTAAATTAACCCGTAAGACAAAGAGGTAAGTTCCTATTCAAACTAATATTATAAATGCGAAAGTAACTCTGTCTGTATGTCTGTCTTTTCTTCACGCCTAAACTACTAAACCGAAATCTGTGAAATTTGTACATGTACAGACATAGTTTGGAACTCGAAATAGGACATAGGATAGTTTTTATACCAAAAATCTGCGGGAAGTGACTATTGCACGCGAACGGAGTTGCGGGTAAAAGCTAGTGATTTATAATTAAAGATACATAATCCTACTAATATTATAAATGTGAAAGTTTGTTATAATGTATGTTTGTCATTCTTTAACGCAAAAACGGCTGAACCAATTTAGTCGAGAATTGGTACGTAGATAGGTGATATCCTGGATTAACACCTAGGCTTTTTATCAACATTCCGCGCGGGCATAACCGCAGGCTAAAGCTAGTTAAGATCCATTTAAATATGATCAGTTGAATTAAATTACTTATTGAATTAGATATTAAAAATAAATACTTTCATTTTTTTCAGAACACAATTATATAATCGTGTTTTTTGTTTTTATTTCAATCAAGGAAAAGAGTTTATCCAAGTCGATAATATTTGATGTTGAATTTATGCGCTTCATTTGGAATCCTGTCTTCTGACCCCTTCTTCGTGCCAGTGGGATGGCATACCTACCAGTTGCCATCGTATTAATGTAAACGAAGGAGTTTCACAATATGTGAATATTCAAAAACAACAAAATAAGTAAGACCAACTTCACACGGTTGCAATGCTGCTACCAATTATTTGATGGATGTTATTTTAAAACTACATAATCAGTTTGTCAATAAAGAAAACCGTATCATTATCCGATGCGTAATTTTGAAGATTTAAACATACATACAGGAATACAGGGAAAAAGAGCCATTTTGTTTTATACTACTCGTATGTAGTAACATTTAACTTTCATTGATTTGATTAAAAATATCTGCTTTTCCGTACCAAATACTAATCCGACAAGGTATTTTTAATTGGTAATAAATTTCCATTAGGTAGGTACCTATTACAAAATTGTTACAAGAAACTATGCCGAAAATTATTTAAATGATCTTTTACATAACTATTTGGGCCTATAAATATGTATTACTGTACCAAATAACCGCTTTCTAGAGGTTGTGACCTACAGACAGACGGTTAGAGTAACTAAGGGTTACTGGTTTCTTTAGGTACCTTAACTTCTAAATATAGTTAAGATAGAGGTCAAAAGCGACCTGTTGCTTAATATGTCGTATGTAAACAAACGTTGTAGGAAACGTTTTCTCTTTTATGGGGTCCTTTGGGACCAGAGGGTTGGCATTATACGGTTAAGTAAGAAGTAAAAAAACGCTTAATTCCATACTGAAATCAGAATCGATCTGGTATTTGATTACAAGAGTAATAGATAAAAAATGTGTTGCTAATGAGTAAGATAACTTAGTTGTTCGTACGATTTAAATGATACTCGTCAAGGTTCAATGGGTGTGTTTTGCGGCTCAGTGTTGCAATGTTACATACTTAACTGTACATTATGTATAATTGTATGAAGAAAATCAATACCTACTAACTTTAATAAACCTGTTCGCTGTTTAAAATCATCTATTAATCTTAAACTAACTGTTATTGTCTTAAAAGTAATTAGAGGCTGCAATGGCCTCTGATTGTTCAAGTCAATCAATTATCAACGCAACAATAAAAAACAAAGTGAAGTAAAACAATTTTTTTTCACTTAAGCATCTAATAATAATTTGAAAAAACCTAATGATAGTCGAGGAAAAAAATTCGTGAGTCCGTTTCAATTCCGCCGCGGTTGCGTTATTCAAGTATTTGTAACGAACTTACTGTTTTGTTTGTGATGATATGTAGACCGGTAAAATCGAAGTGGAGTGACAGACAGCCTCCTTCGCGCACCTGCCGCCGCAGACTGAGCAGCGTGTGCGCAGCTTCGTCGACAGATAAACGACTAAGGTTTCGGCCGCACTACGGTTTTTTCCGAGAGCGTTTAATCACGAAACCGCTCGTGATGCACTGACCACGATCTATAACCGCTAAAGCATCAGCGATTTTCGACCCTAAGTTGAATTACAAACGCTGCTTTTCTTTGTAAGGGTTTTAAAGGCAGTCGCAGCAAACAACCCAAAAATCTCTTGTTTTTAAACTCCAATGGGTGAAAACCGCTGCGTTTTTACATAGTGCGGCCTGATTCTAAAGAATTTAAATGATATGTAAGTATGTTGAGTTAACCTTATTTTAAAGTCTGGTTCACATAATATCGGACACTTTGTATCATTTTTACGAGTCGGTAACATAATTGGTTAAAGCTCAATTATCAACAAAACACTGATGAACCTACTTATCGGTATACAAGTTGAGATAATATCACGTAAGCATGTGAAAGGCCTCCATTAGAGATGGTACATATAGCCACAAAAATTTAGTAGAGCCGCTCATCGAGCCCAATGTAGAGTGAAGGTACTGGTCTTCCCACTCCAACCTGTAAATTTTTTTCCATTGAATTTTCGTCTCAATATCAAAACAATAAAGTATAAAATTAATAGAAAGGAATAGATTGACCTGCTAGCCATTGATTATGCGTTTAAGATCGCTGCGCAGGCGGCTCTCGAGACACGGCGACGGTCGCGCCGAAAATTCTTAAGCCTACACGACGGGAGCTTATGTTAATATTGGACTAAAACGTGTTAATAGCTCCAAAGATGCATGTTAAAGTGAAATACCGTGACGCTACCAGTTACACGCAGTCCACAAACATATTTTACTGTCAAAAAATGTAGTAAAATAATGTTCTGGACAGCCTTTTTCTTTTTTACTAGTATTATGGTACCGAAAATCTATATTTTAAACATGTACCTACCGACTATTAACATTGGACCTTTAAATGGTTTTTAATAATATCATCTAAAAAACTTAAGTTTTTTCATCCTTACCTAATTAATTATGACTTCCTATCACGCTGGTAACATATATAAATAGCAATTTTCTAGATGCTAACAAAATTTCAGAATTTAAAAGAAGTTTTTATTGCTGCTAAAAGTTTTTGAGTAAGTAGGTAGTATTGTATAATAAAATTCAGCTGTTTTTGCGTCAACAGGATTTACTTGGGTCAGTTTTGTTTAAAACTAGCGTCATTATTGTAATAGAATTATGCTTGTTGCAGAATTCCATTCAAAATACTGATGAACGTTTTTCTAGGTCGAATTATTAATATTATTTGACAATTGGGTAATTTCCTAGGTCAAAAATAAATTGATTCGACGTTTTAAAACAATAAAATATTGAAAAATAACTATACTTTTATTCGTCGATCGATCGATACACTAAGTTTTGGATATTTATTTAAGAAATAAGTACTTAAGCTATTTGACGCAAAAATACTGTGACGTTATAGCTCAGGACTTCATACCAATTTCATAGAAAAGTATCGTTTTTGACATTTGGATAAAAGTATTGAATTTGACTACTTACTTGGAAACTACCGTAGTATTAATTTTATTTGACAGTTATCACAATTTCTGCTGTACAATTATAATCTCATAGAAAGAATATAATTGAGTCAATTAAAATGTTATATAGTAAGCATTTCCCATTAACATGCATTAAAAAAATTGGGCAAACGGCCCTAAATCACGGTGACTTGAACTCGGTACGTACCTACCCGTCTTGCGTAAATTATAACTTGTATGTCATAAATACCGACAACCTTGTAATACGTTGTGAGTACGTTGAATAGACAGTACGAGCTATGAACATTGTAATTATATATTACTTACTATTACTCACAACAAGATTTCCTATAGTAACTTAACTTACTTCAAAACAAAATAATGAATAGTCGAAATATACATGTTAGCATATACATATAACTACTCCAGAATTACTGGTTTGAGTTGCGTACTTTCCTAGGTCAAAAATAGACTAATTAGACGTTCTAATACATTGAAATAACTATACTTTTATTCATCAATCCATCGATACACAAAATTTTTGATATTATTTAGCTAATTTTTAAGTAATAAGTAAGATATTTGACGCAAAAATACTATAACGTCATAATTCGCAGTTTCATTCAAATTTCATTGTAAGGTATCGTTTTTGTTGGAAACTACCGTATTGAGTATAATATTTATTATTTGTTTAAAAAACCGAGTTTTAAAGAACATTGCGAAGTGAAAATGTTAACAAAAAAACGGCCTCATAGAAAACCGGCGTCACACAATCACAGCGTTGTTTTCTCTCGTGTGAGGATAAGGATATCGGAGGCCCAATCCTTATCTCTCCCCCTCCCCCACATCCCTTCCCAATCCTTAAATATCTAAACCCTTTATTTCTAAAAGGCCGGCAACGCACTAACTCCTTTGGTGTTGCGGGTCCATGGGCCGCGCTGATTGCTTACCATCAGGTAATCCGCCTGTTATAATATTAGTCTAGGTATAGGTAAATGATGACAAAAAAAATGCATCGACACATTCAAAAATCTTATAATGTATGTACAAAGGTGTGACTAGCGTAATATTAAGTAATATTAATATACATACATATGCGTTTTGTTTACACATTTAAGTGGGCAAGCAATGTTTATTTAGGCTCTCAAGTTTGTGTAATCCACCAAAAATGTCCAGCTTATAAGGACATTACACCGAACCAGTCTTATGAATACTTTAGTCAGCTTAGTTGCACCAATATTGGAGATAGCCATCTTCATGTTTCCACCGAAATAAAATTGTCTTATGTGGAACTTTTAGTAATTATTTTTAAAACAATGAAACAATGAATTTATTTTTGCGAATAGGCCATAAAACGTCAATTTATATGTGAAGAACTAGATGAAGCCGGCGGTTTTGTTTATCTTTGTATATCAGAACGATGAGGGGCATTTTGAAGGGTTTATACAAATATGAGTAGATATTAATTAGATTAAGTGCTAAGGGTTTAATGTATTGTCTTCCTGACTAAACAAAATCTGACTATGATTTCGTTGTCAGTGGGTTTTACGCTTATGATAACAAAATCTTTTGAAGACTAGAACAGTATTTTTATAGTTATACTTTAAACATTATCATGATTGATACCAATAACAAACACCATTAAAGATTTCGTAAAATGAGAATACGGAAATAAACACAAAAACATGAACATTTTTTTAAGTATAATGGCGATTTATCTGTCACATATGGACCAGCCATTTTGTAATTTGGTCCCATAAGTAGTATTAATAAGCATATTTTTTTACTATAAACTAAAAAGTAGCAATAAATCTATCCACCACCTGACTAAAGATTTTTTAAAAAAAAGGAAGAAGAAAAGCATCTCTGAAAGAAACAGTATATGTATATTGCTTCCTCTTGATGCAACTAAGCCTTAATTAATTACTAGGTAAGAAAGCTATAAACTCGTTTTATATTAAGTAGTAAGTTATTTTAGATATTATAGTTCAGATGTCATGCAGATTTGGAGGACGGAACACCCATCGTGGATTGCTTGTTAAACTCTTAGGTTCATGTCGCCAAGCCGATGGACCGGCCACATGCACTCGCAGCCAGCAGGAATCACCATGGTACTCGTCTCCCAACAGTCACTGAAATGGTAAAATAACGTAAATGTCTTTCATCATTATTTTTATTTCTTTGAACTTGATTGCACATATTATTTGTAATTCAGGAGCCAGAACGCATACAATGACAAGACCCGAACACACACACAAACACTTACACAACACAGACGACTTTTGGATGGAATTTTTATATCGAATATATATATAATAAACATAATAGCGCCTGGAAAACTTTTATATAAAAAAGTAAATCAGCTTAATATAATAGAGTATCTTGTCTTCATAACTTATGCAAAAGCCACGCATTATGTACAATCAGCCATGCTATTCGATAAACAGACTATTATATCATTCCCTCCCTCACTTCTAAGCAAAGGCTTCTTCTCAATAGGAGAAGGATCAATAACACCAGCTGGGAGGGTTAGCGATTTCAAACTTAGAACAGCAAATTATAAGTTCAGGTTTAACCGCGATGTTTTCTTCACCATATGAAAGTAGGTACATCTCTTCAGAAAAAATCATATTGGTACTTTGTAAGTTAGAACTCGAAAAGCTATATTTTGATTTGAATAAATTCGTGGGCAAAGTAGGTTAGAAATTAAAAGTTATTTCAGTACAAGTACCAAGAATCTGATTGGCTACTGGCTCAGCAGACAGTTCTATGTCTGAATAACCGCAATGCCTTACGAATGCGCCAAATTTTTGAAATTTAAATATAGAACTTAATTTGTTTGGCACATATTACATCTTTGTGTCACATGAGTTTAATGGGAAATTTGGAGATGGTAAAACTGGCCCTTAATAAACTTTCCATTTCATTTTTATTGGTAACTTAACGAATGCGCATAAGCAATTAACCTAAATAATGAAATATATTTCTTCAACTTTTGTAAGTTTGAACGTTACAAAAATAGACGGCTTTTATAAAAAAATATTTTAATTACAATTACGTACCTACCTGCATTCATATTTATATTGGTGTTATTCATATTATTTTTCGTAAAAACAAATGCAATCTTGGAAAAATCTGAAAACCTCATGCTGTCCATTGTTTTATTACAATTAAATTACATTTTACATGAAATTTCTCACATCGCATTATGCATATTCATGTTTTATTTATAATTCTTTGGTACCTACAATACTGAAACCTGAACAATTTACTTAGTTATTGTTTTAATTTGATTTAGGTGCCAAATTACCAACATAAATGTTCTCTGAACCCTACGTACAGTACGAACGTACATATTTGCGTATGCGTACCTACGCATACGCAAATAAAATCTGTAGAATAAAAACAAACATATAATTTTCTATGTCGTAAAAATACACTAAATTAATTTAAAAGAGCTTCAAACAAAATAGGTTATATTACCTTTTTATTAAAATATCTAACAAACTAGTAACAAATGGTGGCAATGCGTCTATTTTGAAACTAGTCCTAAGTTATCTAAATATAATATATAATATCGACTCCCAAAATTTTTTTTTTTGTGAGGGGAAAATCATCAAATGACTTCTCCCACCCAGGGCCGGGCGGGAGGGAGTGTCAGACAGACATACTGACTAAAAACCCCCCTGTTCCTTCTCCTGCTCTGTGCCGAGGTCGCGGTGCCTCATTGCGCTTCCCCGCAACTCCGGCTGAACATCAGCCCTTTAGGGCCCCGTTTGGGATGGTCTATTGGCTCTTTGAGGCGCGCGCGGAACGCTACGCGCCGTACGCTCGGGCCTGGTTCTGGTCGGGCGGCGAGCTGCCCTGACTCGCCGACCGCAGGCCCGTGCTTACGGTGGCCGGAGATCGTCCCTTGATCATTCCCAAAATATTGCCTTTCTTTTCCCGTGTCCTTGGTCATTGAAAACTAGACCAACGAATTTTTTTTCTATGTTGTGGTTGCAAAGGTAAGGCGAAGGTTCTTAAAAAATGTAGTACGATAGAGGGGAATATCAGAAAACAGCAACCTTTTAAAGGCTGTGGCGGTTACCAAAACTTAATTACTGAAACCGAGGTATTTTATTGACAAGCGTGAGAAACAGGGGCCCACAACTCTAGTGTTTTTTAAAGCCTGCGCTATAAGTACTACGTTTCGATGACATTTACTTGTGTATCGATACCATAAAGATTTATAGTATACTCATGTATATTTAATACGTAGTGATTTCAATAGATGGCACTACTGGTCTCGTATTCGTATTTACTTGTGAACTATTTCTGGGTTCCGTAGATCTAACAAGCACCGACCTTACTTTGTACATGTTGTATATTATAATATGTAACAATATATACTGCGAGCCTCGTTTCAATCAGAGTCACAGATACATTTTTGAAGGGAACGGATTAGAGAATTTGTGGGTGATCCAGTACTTCGGCAAGAATGAGCCGGCATGACCAGAATGATATCACGGCCTCACGTAACAACTCAACGACAGAAATCCCGCGTGAAACGGGTGTTTTAATTTGCCAAGTCAGTAATGTAATTGGTGACTTAATGCTTCCCTAGTTCTACATTCCTAACATCCCTTGAAAGGGCAATAAAACACTTGTTATTCTATTGCTTACCACTGGTAATCAGGTTTGTGCACATATATTTAAAGAATCAAGGGTTTTTCGCTACAAAGAGTGAAGTCAGACAGGGCACAGACACACTGGTTTACATCTAAATAAGTTTTCGCGACTCATCATTAGTCTTATAACCAATATTTTTTTCTATAGGCTGAAGTTTCTAGAGACTCATTCGACACTTATAAAACCATTAAAATAAATGTCAAAGGTTCTTTTTTGTTACAATTGTCTATTCATTTGGTCTCGTTGACTCGATTAGAAGACGCTACAAGCGTTTGACTTTGGTTTTGGGAAGTTTCTCGAGAATTTTATTGTAGGCAATTCGCTGTTTTTATTTAAGAAACATTTTTGAATTGTTTTCAGTTGGCTACACGGTATATTGTTTTTTCGCAAAATGCTGAAAGATTAGAAACATGTTCTACACGAATTCCTTGCCAAACTGGTACGTTAATAAGCCGTTAAATATGAACTACTCGTACATTAGATTTATTAAAATATTAAGTTTGGAAATGTGTTTTGCTGGTTTTTTAATATAAGAAAAAGTAAAAGTCTTTTAGTGACTACCTCCTAGTGCAATTGCTAAGCAACAGCTGCAGGGTCCGATTCCTCGGACATCGTATTCAGCAGCCATGGTTGCAAACTATTACTATGTACTTGTAATTACTATGTAATACTATGTAATAAAAGTGAGTAAAAGTAATTATTCTCTCAACGATCGGTTTGGACCGTTTGTAATTCTGGTGGACCTACATAAAATTGCTGGCTGCGACAGGATTTAAAACTGCACGTGGATGTCCCATTACAAAAACCTTGTTATTAACCATCGCCATTATCAGTTCAAGAGACTTTTTATTTCATTCAATGGTCATTCGTATATTCATTGTTTGCATATGTAATTCTCTATGTGTCACGTGTCACGGCATGTGACAACTACAGCACGATATCAATGCAATATTGTTGCCTCCAATCAACTAATAGATACATAAAAAATACTTCTCTTACAGCGGAAAATGGCGGTAAAACAATGCTATTGAAGTAGATTTTATAGCCTATTTTTATTATCTTGCGATAATGTTAGGTTTATGACTTATTTACACAATGTGTCTGGAACTGTCAGTGCTGGTAAAGACCTCTTCTACTACGGTGACGGAAGAATGATGATTTATCACCATTATCATGTAAAACCAAGGTGGAATCGGATTTAAAAATGTGTCTAAAAACCTGACAATATTTCGCTTTGACGAATATCAGTGCAATCTAAATCAACTTGGAAAGTACTTGCATGTAACTTAAAAAAAGAAAGATTAAAGATGATGAGACTTTTTCTAATGAGACAAGCCACAACTTCCCAATACTTCTGAAACTGCTCATTAATCAGAATCTTCAGCAGATTTAACTACAATCATAGAGATACCGCGACAGTGAAGTTCGATACCTCTAAGGGAAGTAAGAATAGTTTATTTTTTTAACTTTGTCGTGTCGTGGATGCGGTTACAAAAATACCTACAATTTCACATACACATGACACCTAGACTCACGGAACTACAAATTGTTGATCACTCAAAGAGTTGGTTCCGTGTGGGAATCGAACCCGAGACAAGTTATACGGCAGCCAGTTGCCCAGCCACCACAACAACAGTGCAGTCATGAAATTTCTTGGATCCCGTAACGAATTCCATCTAACTAAAATTTAAATTATTATTATTATTTTAATTTAGTCTTATCATTTATTGTTTGGTCCATTCTACGAAGTAACTATTAATAAAATCATAGACTGGACCAAATATTAAAGGTGAATTAGATACTTTACCTGGAGTATCGTCTTCTTGTTAAATGGATAGTTTTGTTCCACTGGACGCACGCGAATCCGAGACTCGAACATATCTAGAAATATCAATATCCAAAAGTAAATACCAACATATGTATAAGTTTAATAAGGCCTGGTTAAATAATCAACTGGAACTATTTTGAATTTCCGTCAAATATTATTGCACACCATTGCATTAACGCGCTTGTGTACATTTTATACCGAAGAACTACTTTTACTGAACTTTCTTTTGAACTACCCAATCCAGTACAGGAGCTATAAGGCATGAAAGATAGCAGAGGAGCACAAAGAGAGGATTTTTTTAAAGATGTTCGAAGACAGCAAAGTTTGGAAATTGTTTAATCTAGTTTACAGACTTAGATTATTTAGTAGATCATCTGACAACCAAGCAACTCGACAGAGAAAACAGAATATAAGCATATTTATTTTATTCGAAACTTGTATGATAATACTATCTAGTTATTGAGAGATTAATTATTATTGAGTCTGGCCTTAAATCGCGCTATGTGAAGGTAAATGAAAATAATGCTTATATAGCAAATCTATTGCTCATTCTTCAAGTACATATTTGTAATAATCTCGTTACGATTTCGCCGACTCATCTCATATTTGGCAATCTTCATTTTTTTTATCCTCGTTTCAATAAGGTTCAAAGTCCACAGAGACACTTGATATAAATGCATTATGTGCAATTCAGTAAACACATATGAATAAGGTTCTAAGTAATTAGAAACTAAGATATATAAGACTACAATAGTTCGATATAAATTACGAAAAGTAGGTATTATGTACTGGTGTTAGGTATATGTTCAGATCTTTTTTCATTTGTTTCTCCAATAAAAGATGTGACGTAATAGTTACTAATAGTGCACAAGAAAAAGTGGTACCTATGCATTGTCCTCAATATATTCAATGCGTTATTTGCACATCGGTCAAATCACTTTGGTATTTCCGAGGTTTGCATAAAGTAATGTATCAATCATTAACACCTTACACATTAATACATACAACATTTTAAAATAATCTAACAAACGGTCTGTGTTTTTTTTATTAACATGTATCTCAGACACATCCACACTACCTATCTGTTGCGGATCTGCAACTAGAAACAATCAATTTAAAAAACAATGGAATTTAAATCGCTTTAAAAGTGATTAACGCCATGGACAACCCTAATATCAGGGCAGTCACAAGTCCTTGGCTAACCTTGAAGAAGAGGGGTGGAGGGGATTGAAGGTGCTTATACGTATACCTCGTACCTCATTGCTGTCTCCAATATCATCGCTCGATGTCATCGTGCAACGAACTTCTTCATAGTATGCTGGTCGATACTCATATTCATTGGTGTTCAGTTTCTTGATTTTCCTTTCTAAATGACATATTGGATAATGTTTCTGAAAAAAAAAATGGATGTATCAGTAAATCCTATATAAGTATGCATATTATGGTGGAGTTTATCGCCATGACCAATGAAAACTATAATATCCTGATCTTTACCCTTTTCCTAACTTAATGCTTCCGTAGTCCAATCTCATATATTCCTATCTCCTGTGTCGTGGGTGCATTTACAAACATATAATTTCACATACACATCACACACAGACCCGGAGAAAGAATTTCTGGATAACACAAAGAGTTGTTCTGTGCGGGATTCGAACCCGCGACACGTTGCGCCTCAGCCAGTTGCCAAGCCACTGCGCCAACCGTGCAGTCACAACACAAAGTTTCAAAAACTTGTAAACATAGGTATTATTCGAGAAGTTACTGACTTAGTTCCCAAACTGCTTGTAGGTATCGATAATATTAACAAAAAATAACAAGCCTTGGTAAAAAACTCCGGCATATAGTTAATTTAAACATAAACATTTTTACATAGACTTAGGAACAAAACAGCATTCTTTAACATCCTGGTAACGTAATTATGAATCATAATTGCATTGATGCCTTTTTTCTTTCGGCGATCTTGTTTTGTCGTCAATTAGGTACATACTTTGTTTTAATTAATATGTTACCAATGTGTGGGAAGCTTAACGTATCCATTACTGCAAATATTCAATAGGTAGTTTATATATTAATTCTATTTACGTTAATACAGGCTCGTCTGCATAAAGCCGTACAGGTTTTGATGGGTCTACACTAAAAAAAACCGGGTGGTAGAATTCTGACTGTATTTTGATCTAATAAACTGCAATCTCGAACCATTCTTCAAGACAATCCATTCGTTGTACAAGCGCTATAATAAGCTGTGGTTCCAGTCGGGACCAGGAAATGGTACAGGGTGGTTCTTAGTCTGTAAGAATCTGGCTAACAACCAAATGGCTGGGAAATTATACAAAAGCATTTCGATTTAATGCTCTAAACATATTATTATTACGATAGTTATCATGAGGCAACATATGTAGATATGTAGATGCATTATAATTTTAATAAAAAGCTTAGGTAACAATTCATATTAAATGTTAAATAGACACCTGAATCCGTATCAAACAATATGCTAACAAAGCATTCACTGAAATAAATAGATGATGCAATTGGTACTTACTCCACACTATTAAATGATTCTAAACAATAGACAAACATATATACATACCTAAGTATTTTCATCAAACCTGTGAAATCGTGTTTGCATTCTAACTTTTTGCTTAAGTGTATATATAGATATTATGAGCCATTCTCGAAAATAGCTTTAGGTAGCCATTTTGATGTAACTTGGTTACTGAAGGCTGTTTTTTTAGGGGAGTTATTTAATTGCAACTTTATTTTGATAATAACATGACAATGATTTTAAAAAAAACGTACCTACTACTTTTATTAGGAGGAAAATTAACAAATGATTCTCTCGCCTAGGGTAATGTCGGACTCTTACTGACTAAAAACCATTCTGTTTCTTCTCTTGCTACAGGTCGAGGCCGCGGCTAGCGGCTGAAAATAGACCTTATTGGATCTAATGGCTCATTGAAGCAAGTACCTAATACTTAAAAATAATGTTTTCATTACTCACTTGTGCTCCTAGCTGCCTGAGCTCCCTTGACCCTTGCAGTGCCGCCGTGTATTCTGGTAATAGCTGGAAATCGAAAAAATATTAGAAGTGTTGCCACACCTAGAGTGCATAGTACTTATACTTATAGATACCAGACCCATAACCGACCGTAAGTAATTTTTCGATTATGCGAGATTCTGTAGCTCGAAATGTTTAACTCTAAGTAGGCAGACAACTGTATTTGCTACAAAATATGGTCGCATAATTAAAATGACCTTAAGAAAGAGCTGAATATCTGAAGGACTCACTTGTATAATTATACACTAAGTTTTACCTCGCTTGGATCTTCACAGTCAGCCTCAGCAACACGCTGTCTCAACAACTCTTGCTGTCGAGCCCTCTCAAGTCTACCACGAGCTGAGTTCAATATCTTTTCAGGGTTCGGGATTCTAAGGACATGTTCTATGAATTCTCGAGCCGATTCTTCGTTGGAAGACGGGGAATTATATGCCAGGCATAAAGTCACGCAGAGCGCCTAAAATAAAGACAAAAAATATGTTTAAAAGTTGTATATCAGTATCAATCTAATAAATATTATATAAGTTTTATTACAAAAATAATTCCCACTTTTATCCTTTGAGTACGAAACCCTTAAAAGGCAAACTAGATTTCATCCTTTATTCACTTATTTAGATGAATGTTGAGGTATATGTGGCATATTGCTATAGAATTATCTCATATCTATTTATCTTTTTGTCCTTTGTGATAGCCATCTTTACTATTATCACGGTACTAAACATAACATTGTTCCATGTTTCCGATTTCAAAAGCGGAAAAGCTAAACACACACAACTAAGTACAACGCAACAGTTTGCAACCCAAACGACGCTAAATTGAATTATAGTTCAGTTATCAGGGCATGTGGCTATTCAATATACGAACTAAATGTCAGACTGTTGACTGTTAATTGAGGAACATCTTGCATCGATCTGTTTCAATTAGCTATTCAAAAGATATATAACGTTTAGTTGCGAACTCGATAGATGTCGTTATGTGCGAATAAAGAGTTTTAGTTTAATAAGTGTATCGAAACTGAATCATTAGATGATACGTATTATGATAATGCAATAATATACCGTTGAGAAGGATGGAGGGTCTTCAGTCAATAAGAGTCTGACACTCCTCGCCCCACCCTAAGCGGTAGAAAACATAGATGACATACCCCTTTCAAAAAAGGGTACCTATTTGTAACACGTAGCTAACAGAAAAGGTATATAATATGTAGGTTTTTAAGGCATGTTATAACATGCCTTTAAGAGAAGTATCTAATAATTATTCACAAAAACGCCATTGTTTTGCCGTTGATTAGAAATTGATAAACCTAGCTAGAGAATATCCGAAACGATTAAACTGGCGAGCAAGGAAAGTGAAAATTTCATGTTGGAAGGAACGAAGAAGATATACCTATATAATATGTATACCTATACATACATACATATTATGTATAGCTAAAATGTATTTGGACCATGGTACGTACATTGGTTTGAAGAATGCAATGTGATTTTGTGAAGCTGATTCAATAAACTTATTATGTGATTTTGTGAAGCTGATTCAATAAACTTATTATGTGTTTTCGTGTGACGATTTACACAATAACGTCGTCATTATGTCCTGGTGTCAATGCACCTTCGTATACAAATACACAAATCCCTCTAACTACAGTTCGAAATAAGAAACAAAACAATAAGTTAATTATTCATGCATTATTTCCGAAATTTATGTAGCTACCTACCTACCTACCTACCTATGTAGGCATTTCAATTTGTTAAAATAAGTATGTAAGCAGTAGTTTTACGAGTAGTTATGAAACTGCATAAAATATGTATGTATAAGTATGGGAAAATAAAAAAAATATACTGGGTTGGATTTGAAACTTGGATTTGATTTTATGTTCGGTAAAGTACAGGTTCAGGGAAAAGAATGGGATGGTGTTTAGTCAGTAATAGACCTCTAGCCACGCTCATGGCGCCAGACGAAATAGGATGAATTTCCAATAAAGAAATGGGATTATAAATATTAGTATTCACTACTATTAGAACTGTGTAAGTACCTAACTTTAAGTAGAAGTAAAATTTTGTCCCGATTCTTTGTAAACAAAAGCAATCAACATACGAATAGCTAAAACAGATGACCGATAATAACATGACAAATGCATAATGCGAGCTGTTTTGAACTAAGAGCACAGCACCGGAACATCATTGCAAATAACAGTTAATTAGTTTTAATGCGGGGTCAGATTCAGTTGTACGGGCATGGGTATATACGGTAGATGCTGTGACGAGGATGACGTGTTGGCATCGAGGCAAATAGCTATTCAGCTGATTAGGCCCGAGCGACAAGCCCGCGCTCTGATTGGCAACCGTCCGTGGAGCTCGACTGCTACCACACTGCAGGATCACAGGGGCTCTCAACATTCATGCGAGTTTTATAACGATTTTTTTAAATGCGTTTTTGATCCTTAAAGGACGCTGTACAATAAATGTAAAACAATGATATCGGTATCAAGATCAAAATTTGAAAGGATTAAGACAAGCTGTAAATCCTTAATACAGCTGCGGTGCAATACAAGACCTATTATTTTACAGGTTGAATCCAAAATCTAATTAAACGAGTAAATTGCCATGAACCATACAAGGTTCATGACAAAACTTTTTAACTTGTTACTGACAATATTTGAAATTTTACGTAGGTAAACTTTGACCGATGGGGAGTCAAAGCTGGACTTAAATCTAAACGTGTATTGTCAGTAAAATTAAGGTTGATCATATTATTATAGTACAAACTATGTGAAAGAAACAATCTAATGAATCCCTCAGAGTTTTAAAAATACATTGATAACCTAGGTCTTGTTGAATTAAAAGACTTAGGGCTGATTTTCCAATAGTCAGATAAATGTTATCGGAGGAATAAAATTGTTGCTGTCACTGTCTTATACAAACATTCTGACGCGACAGCATCATAATTATTCCCCGGGTAACTTTAATCTTACCATAGAAAAATCAGCCCTTATGCGAGATGTAATTAAATTGATTTTCGTTTAAAGATTAAGTTTAAATGATGTTGTACTGCGTAGGAGAGAGTAAGATTGGCAAGCCCTGCGGTCACAGCTTTGGCCCGCACCGTACACTCTGCTCGCTATACGGTCAATGAAACATGCTATGATGATGGCACCTTGCAAGTGTTTTTCTTTTTTTATGCACAATACGTGTCTATATGTACACACTCATCAGTGATTCTCCACAGCCAGTGCATTTAAAAAGTGTTTATTTATTTGAAAAACGAATTGGCTCGCAATGTCAGCTGATATTGTTAACTTCTTGTCACCACAGCTTGAAAGGTAAGCGATATTTTTATGACTAAAACAATACATATTTTAGTGTTTCTCATATAGCTACATCATTGTTTTATATTTTCGTTTCAAATAAATAGAAAATATCAATCGTTTTAATCCAATTTAAAACCAAAATAAACTTAAATTAGACACGTGTACATTGTTTATTTATACGAATTTGTTTTTCATTGTACCTAGCTACTACGTAGCTATTTGTGGTCTATCAATATTCTAAGTAGTTCTTGGCTACCTATGTATATCATGATGATCAGCAAACGTCATATGGCCTTTACAACGGTCACACAATACATTTATTGTCGTATAAAAGATCGCTAGTTTTTAACACAATGAAATTGAATGTTAGTCTGCTCCAATGAGGAGGGACTACAGATCCTGCCAAATACGACAAAGCAAGGGGTACTAGAGCTACGTAAATTCTATATTTAGAACCTATTATCCTGTCAAACCTCATCCTGATCTTGAATACGAAGTGTTGTGAAGTTTTGAAACAAATAAAAGTAAATATAAACTGTAATCTTAAATTGCTGAGCTAGCTAAACGACCATTCGCAATAAGATTAAGGTAGGTTCTAAACGGATGTTTTAATTAGCTTAATATTTGTTTATCTTTAAGTTCTGCTAAGCCGCCCGAACGAATGTTGCTTAATGTTTCATAGATCGGTATGTTTGATAAAGTTTTGAATAGACATAATATTTTATTTATGATTTGTAATTTTATCCGTCTATTTATTCTCAAAAAAAATTATTGCGAACTGTGATCAAGCTGTTTCGTTTATTTGATGTGGGCGGAACTGCGTTTTATTCATTAGTCTGCAAGACGTTTGTGGGTTACTGTCGGATTGGCTTGTTATCCAATAATTTAATAGAAACAATATCTGAAAACACGAAATTGAAAAATTATCACAACCTGCGGAGAAAGGATATGTTAGTATTAACTAGCCAACGAAGGCCACTTTATTTTGATTTTATATTAATATTGATTTGATATTGAAAAAACAATCTATATACATACAAGTTATACCTACCAATAACCAAACGTTGCCTTATAATAAAAATGTAACGGGTAGGGAAAAGAATGTTATGCTTACGTGCATAATTATAATAAAATACCCACTTGACGTACTCTTTCCCGATAAGCAGTTCACGCTAAGATACGCTTATTTCCTTAGGTAGCACTGGCAATGCATTGCTTTCTATTATAAATAACATTGACGTTTTGTACTACGTATAGTCATTGTTCAAACGTTATTTTATAATACCTATGAAGGTGTCAAATCGTGTACGGTGTAGTTACATAGTTTTGTTGTTATTCAAGAAAAGTTTTTCGATAAATGTGCAGTTATAATGATACGGAGTGAGAATATAAGTGCAGAAATGAGAAGATTGTTGAGACGGTAAATGCTATTATAAGCATTTTTATTTTGTTTTAATTTCAAATGTAAAAACATTCTCCGATTCTTATGCAATGGTTTTAAACGAAATTAGGTATGTTCACACTTTTATTTAACTGTAATGTAACTTATGAATAACATCTTTTTATTTTATCAAAAAGTGATCATAGCACTTTTTTGAGGCAAAAATAATATCAGTACATGATTTTTCCCTCTCCGGTTTGGGCGAGAGGAAGTGTCAGACTCTTAATGACTAAAAAGTTTTTAGTCATTAAGTGTCTGAAGCTTCTTTCTGACGGGGACTTCTTGTTTTTAGTAAATACAACCCCGTTCCTTCTCACGATCGAGGCCGTCGTACATTATTGCGCTTAGGTACCCTGAAACCCCGGGATTTTAAGTACTTCAAACTATATTTCCGACTCCTATTTTTTAATTGGATTAAGATCAGGACCTAACCTCTCTATTGTAGTGTTATTACTAGGTTTTTTAACGTGTTTAGTAAGTATTAGTAATTTTAGTTTGAAAAAGCAACCCAAAAGCTCATTATAAGACATTCACAGACAATGTAACAACCATGGTTATATCGTCATTGATTTTGATTACTTTACAATAATCCAAAAGTTATTTTTTTATTTGAATTATATTTTCTCGAATATAAGTAATCCTTTTTGTTGAGGTTCATCGAGCACAAATTTGTGAGTAGACCAAATTGCAGAGATTAAAACAATCGGACAAAATAGTTAGTGTTCTATTGATTTTTTTTAATAACGAGTCCGAAAAGTTCGTAACATTATAAGAATCTCTTGTTTTTCCTAGCATTGGGGTATGTGCAAACGATGCATTATTAACTTTGTGAAAACAAATGAAGACGCTAATTCATACTCACAGGTTCTGAGATAAATATAAGGAAATGAATGTCAATACGGGTCAATACAATTGAATAAGTTATTTACCTACTGTAGTAAATAGCTACCTAGAATACCTAGATACCTATGACTACATCAATAAGAGAATGATTGATATTAGTATCTACATCATTGACATATCCTAGGTATAGTCGCAGTAGCGTTGTTTTTTTTCTATTACTTTGGAGAAATTTTTATTTCGTTAAGCTCAAAATACTTAATACTTATAAAATAAATTATGCAAAATGTTCCATATCATTCGATCGATATATTGATTTGTTTTAAAGCCAGCCATTGTTAAACAGATATTTACTTGTAGACAAAATGTTTGCGACCATTTTGGTGTTGAGAATTTAAGAATTGTAAGTTCCGTAAGGCCTTTTGATAAAATAAGGGTTTACCAACCACGTTTTCGATAATGTGTACCTACAGTCGATTGTATAATTTGTTTTGTATATTCCGTAGCACCCGTAAAGCGGAGATGCGTAGAAGCCAACGCGGTGCCTTCCACATGGAGCCGGTACCAGAGAACGAAGGCCTTTTCAAAGTCTCTCAAATTGGAGACAGGTATGTAATCAATAGCATTTAAGTACACCATTTTTTTCATTTCAGATCGCAATCTCTCCTGGTTTTAATCTATTACGCGGCTGTACAGTATACCCATAAGCATTCTTTACTATTCTCTATGTTTTTATTATTATTTCTCATTGTTTATTTTTCTCTGCTATTCATGACACTGCGGTTAAATGTTTATTCCTGGGATCCAGATAGGCAATTTGTTTTAATCAAGACGAATCGTCGTAGTCGACCAATTGTTATTTCTGGTCTGGGTCTAGTGAATTTTATTTTTGTAAACGCACCAACAATACGATAGAAAGTACCTAGGCAATGTTTTTTTTTAAATGGAAAACAATGAACAATTTTAGTTTTATACATGCGACATTTTTTTTATTATTAGCTATGTCAATATGCGCCTCGTACTCGTATCGTCGTATCCTTGCAAGACTAAAATTATCTCGGTAGCTTTATACTTGGCCCTGTCTCTGGACCTTAACCTGTCAGTTTTAATAATGCACAAGACGTTGGGACCCTCCATCCTATGGGTGATCTCGGTCAGGGTCTTTAAACCAATTTTAAAGCAACGGACCTTTGAATAAAAGACGAGAACCAATAGACATTGGTTGCAGAAATTTGGAAGCTTTGCAGTCTGATGCTCAGCAGGACCCTTTTTGGTGAGGGCCAAATCAGCTTTACATGAATAAAACTGTTAGGTACTATCGCAAAACAAGGCAAGGCAAAGCAATAAAAATAATCAACATAGTTAATAATAAAAACAACTAATCTCACCTTAATGATGAAATGCCTGACAGCCATCTTAAACTGGTGTTTTCTCTGGTTATTTTTGTGATGGTGATTCACGGCCAGCAATCCACAGATTTATGAATGATTTCCACAGTTTGAAACTCTTTTTATATCACGAATTATCTTAATCCAGTCCAACAGTCGAAGTGTTTTAATTAAAATGTTCTGGTTAATGTTTACGATAGGAATAGTAAGGCTCCACCATTCTATTGATACAAAAAATAATTTATTTTGACAAAAAAGAACAATTCATGAGTCAAATGAGTTTTTATGAATTTTGGCCTTTTTGATTTAGTCTCGTGAGATCGATATTCCTTTTAGATAATGTAGATGAAGCTTAATACCATAAAGATATCCATATTTTCTTTTTGTAGGCCTAAGTCATTTGATAACTTTAATCGATAAAATTAGATCGATAGAATGAATTTTGATGATTCTATACTTATTACCTACACACAATCTTAAGTCAGTAAATGGATATTAAAAAGTGCATGAATGCTTAAAAACTGTAACGTTCAAAGACAAATACTTTGCTATCCATAGTGTGAAGAAAAATATTTCTCTTTAAGCGTCCATCGTCCTATCCATATTTTCGAACGTGAACAAAAAAATGTAATTTTCTATATTAGTCGACAGATTTAACATCAGTGAGATTAACACAAAGATAACAACGGGATACTCTCTGATTATTCCCGACAAATGACAATCACACTAAAATGTCAGCCTCTGATAATAATAATATTAACACAATCTGCGTCATTAGCCAAATCAAACCAAATAAGCTAATATTTACATAGACATAGAATTACCCTTTTAGATGGTAAAAATGTTCCGTTTTCTTAGAATTGTCATTTTATTAATGGAAGGGAAAGATAAGTTGTGGAGATGTTTTTTGGGACGAATGTTTCAAGCTTTTTGTTGATTACTTTGCTTTAATTATTATTTTGGGCTTTGAACTTTCGCGTTGTTTTTAATATACTTGATCATTATGAACGAAAATACTCTTTTCAATGGCTTTGAAACGTTATTTGCGTTGCTAGTAGGTAAGTAGGCGTTAGTAGGTACCTACTCACTTAAAATTTTCTTTCGAGAAAAATCTTTGTGTGTTTATCGAGTTTATTAAATTTATTTAGGTGCTGAATATGATAGTCTATAGATATATGATAGTCTAAGCCTATTTTCGCACGACAATTGATCCCTATTTACATTAAATTACGCGAACAGTTATCGAAGTGGCTGGAAGCAACTGGCTGTTATGTAACGGGTCACGGGTTCGATTCCCGTTTGGATCAGCTTTGTGTGATCCATAATTTGTCTGAGTCTGGTCTGAGTGACCTGTGACTCCGGCCCTAAGACTACCCACTGACCCACTTGTGTATGTGCATTTGTAAACGCAACCACGACACAGGAAAATCCTAGTTTCAGGCAACATATAAAGAAAAACATAGTATTGAAGAACTATATACATAAAATAGTAACTTTTATTTGTTTTTGTTTTGCAGGAAAATGGGGAGCGATATCATTTCACCGGGGGCTCAGGGGGTTTTTAGACAGGTACGAAATTACACACATTACGCACATTATTATACCATAATCATTAATACGGAAAATGTAATATTGATTAGCCTTTGCACAACACTGATGATGAACAAAGCCCTTTTCCCCCTTAGGGAGAAGGTTGCCTTTTGATATACATAATATCTTCGAATAACATACTTATTGCTAATATCGATCCGGGTAACTCAACGGGCAAGTTTAATACATATTTTTATAATGTATGTCATTATTTCAATTTAATACAAGAGACAGTCTACTAAGATTAAGATTGAGGAAAAAACAAATAATCTTACTACGTACTTTAAGCCAAGAGAACTCATCAATATTACATGACCACTTGAATATTCTTTAACTTAGGCATACCTACGCAGATGCACATAAGTATTAATTATAAAAAGTACCTAAATTGAATATTTGCCTACGTAACTAGATATGTATGTACCACTTTTGGTCTTATCTAGCAATAAATAATAAACGGTGGCCTTAGGTGATAGGGCAGACAACATACTTATTGATTTATTTGCCGACGCATAGGGTCAGTTACCCCTTTATTAACGGAAATCCGACATACTTTCAGTATTTAGTTGGTATTTATAAAGAACTGCCCTGCAGCAATGCAGGTAGTTCTATTCAAAAATTCTAAGGCACTATGCACACGCTCGTTTCTTCACATCTTGAATCCTCTTCAGAGTACCAAGCGTCCCTCGCCGGTATTAGTACTCGGGCTTGTAACGAAACCATAGCGCGATTCAGGTATCGATTAGGGTTTTTACAACGCCATCTATCGAGCAACGGGTCAATGAAAGATGGTTGAATTTTGTATAAAAATGTGTGATAGGGCAGCAATATTAGGATACTATCTAAAGTAAGTAGGTCTATCGGTTTAGGTAGTTGACTAAAGGTAACAATCTAGGTCAATCTAGGTATGTCTTTCTATATTAAAGAAGTCGTGTATAAAATATATGCAAAAATTATTTGAATTTAGTTTATTCGCTAAAATTACATAGATACTAAATTTTAATAATCTTTGTAATCTAATTTAGATATATACCTGATTGTAACATTGTGAAATAAGTAAGTACAATTGTTAGAAAATAGTTTTTAGTTGTTGTTAAACATTCGTCTCCTTTCTGTATCGTTTATTTGTACTTTAGTTTTAACAGGAATGGACTAAGGTACCTACATACATAAATTCGTACATGCGTACATTACGCATACTGTTTGCTTAGACACATTATACTATATGTATAATAAACATTTTTCATTCAAAGGATTACCCAGACAAAATCGAAAATTTTACTAATATAATATATCATCCTGAAAAGTCATCAGATCCTGTTGTCTTAAATAACTTTGGCAGGGGCAGCCCTAAATGTTGAAATTATACCTGCAGCAAAATACTGCAGCCGTAGTAGCTGTAGTTCGTAGCGTGTTTCTCGTAGCGCGTAGCGGCTTTTTCCTGCTATTAATCCAGTATGCATACAAAAGCGTCCAAAAATCTACTCAAACTTGAACTGTCCGTGATCTGCAATGTATAAATTTATTTTAGTAGAAATAAAATGGCCAGGTGAGTAAGGCAGGTGGTATACTTTCCATGTCTGCAATTATTTAGTTGAAATCCAACTGTTTGCACGTCTACGATAATGAAAACGCTGCTACGCGCTACGTGCTACAACTGTAGTACATCTTGTGAAAAAGCTGAAAAGGGGAAATATGACTTATAGAATATTTAAAGCTGGAAATTTAGGGTCAGAAACTTGACAAACCATGGAATTTCTTTTGATAGTACAAATAGGTCTTATTTTTGTGGGATTTTGGTTAATGTAAGTGGCTTATAATACTAATGGTTCATTACTTTTGAAGAGTATACCTTTCAAAAACCATTAGCATAAAGTTTGAAGTTGTTTAATGACTCCGTTAAGTAAAATACGTCAATTAATTAATATCACAAATAAATCGGACAGGAAATAAGGATGTTTAATATGAATAAAATTTAAAGCATAGCACTACCTATGCAATAGAAAAATAATTTCAATGGATCATATATCTTCGGCATATCACCGAATTCTATTGTGTAACGTGAAAAAAGAAATAAAATTTTAAATTTTATTTGGAACAATTACTAAAAAATACATAGATATATCTCTATGTGGTTTTATTCTAGTTATATTTACTTTTTAAGGTTATTCACTGACAGTAGGGAAGTTAACATCCTGAGTGAGGTAACCTTGACTTATAATTCCTAATCATATTGAAATCACCAATCCGCCTTCATCAGGTGTGGTGACTTTAACTTTCTCCGTTTGAGAAGAGGCGTTTGGTTAGCAGTGGCCACTTACTGTTGATGTAGGTGTTATTATGTATGAAAACTTTATTGTATTGAAGTTTCGAAATAGGTACCTAACTTTTATACAGAATAAAATACTCAATTCAACTTATGTGGCACGGAAGAGGGAGAAATGTATGCAACCATCAATGACATTAGAGACAGTCTGTTATTACTTAGTTCCTACATGCGTAGGCAGATTAGTGCTCAAAATAAATCTTCATAAGACCTATATTGCACTGGCATTGTTAATAGAAAAATGGATCCATAAATCAGTTAGCTAGATCGTTAAGGATACATAGAATATAGCGCTACAACGAGTTCCTTCATAATCTCCATAGGTACATGTGTTTTATTTATTTTGATATCGCTCCTGATTATACAATGCCGTGTAACAATAAGTATACTACGCCAAAATTAATGCCATACAGAAATATAAAATTCATATATTAATGACAAGCACTTTTCATCTTTTGAGACTTTACATTCATCCGTGACCGGATAGCTGTGCTCATAAGTATAAACTACTAAGTAATTATTATAGCTCCTAAAGCTAATTATGACAATAGGCAGATGTCCAGTTCGTCTAAATTTGGGATAGACTTACAGTTGATCATAGAGCAGGTATCAATGTACCATGCCGCCACGGTTTGTTAAAGACGATGAGACCTGACTTTTTTTGAGACAAGACTTTTTTCTCCTTTTGAATCTATGTTTTAGAACGAGTTCTTAGCTTCACTAACGAACGGACCGAAAGTGTAGTTTTTTATTCCTATCTCTCTCCCTGGGAGTGTTGAGCGAGTGTCCAACTCTTACTAACTTAAACCAACCTCTTTCTTCTACTGGCCCAGGCCGACGCCTCGGTATCTACATTATTGCGCTTAACCCGCAACCAGGGCGATGCCTAGAATATTATATCGAATATATGCCAGATGTTAATTATCGATAAAGTAGATATACTTATGCAAAATTAAGTACAATACAAAAAATAATATGCGATAATTATTTCCACAAAAGAATATCTATTGCGATTGAAATACATGTTAGGTGACTAAAGGCTAAAAAATAGCTCAAAATATAACAGTAAGTAGCCAGTTAAATATACCTATCTCTTTCAGAGCTACAGCCTACCCACTTATCTAGTAGGGAAGTAAGTAGGTTACTACGTAAGTACCTACCCACTTTGAAAACACATAAATTGTTTGTATGTAGGTACCTACTTACACATTTCTACCGGGCCAAAGTCCAACTTGCCAATCATGCTGAGTCAATAACACGATGACACTTCAATTTGTTCTCTCCATTTAATCGATCATAGAAGATAAAATTTCATGTAGGTAAGTTGGTTTTTTGGTCTTCGATTTTGATATTGTGCCTACCTAGCTACTTACAAAAAAATTAAGCAAATCATTAATTCGTGTAGAGCTAGTTTCGCACTTACGTCTTGTAGTCTAGTACCTTTTTATGAGACATCTTACGTGTTCTTTACAAGAAATAAGTGAGTTAAACATTTTCTAACATCATAATGGTAAAATTATCAAGATGGAAACAATATAAATAATTAAATTTTATAATTTAAAATTGTAATTCATGCCATCTATTGGGCAATTAAAAGAATTTCATTATGACAAGTTGGTTTATAGTTGCCAAAAAGTTTGGAATAGCAATAATAGATGACGCTACTCATTCCAAATTGATTTAAATAATTTGACCTGAAATCGCATAAAATATAATAAGTACCTATATAAAAAAAAATGTGACCACTAAACATTTATGTATTCATTCTAGATTTCCTTATTTTGCATTCTACAGAAATCATTTGGGGCGTGCGATCGTCAGAAAACCGCATTGTCGTCATATGCGCGAGCCGCCCGCTTGTCGATCGGAACAGCCGCGGCAGGAATCGGAAATTTATTCACTCGCAAAATGGCGACTGCTACTGCAAACAACTTGTGTCCATGGCCCAATAGTCAAGATGATTATGAATTACGAGATGTTATTGGTAAGTTTTTTATGAAAACTCAACAAGCTATTACTAACTAGTATTTTTTTCGAGTCTAATGTTTTGTATATATTCATAAAAAACGCAGTCAAGGTGACGACGGCTTATTTGGGTCTGTCTGTCAAATTCCATATGATCCAATAAATGTCATTTTTTCTTCAATTTCTTTGATTTTAACGAGGTTTTCAATGAAAAAGGTGATTAGGGTTCTATTCAAAACTGATACGTCTACAATGATATTATTGCAACAGCTGGTATCCATGGAGGAATGTTTTTGTACAAAATTTAATGTTATTATTACGGCAGGTTCGATAGCCGCAGTGAACTAAGTTGTTGATTTTAGGTGTTGGAGCTACTGCTGTGGTTCACGCTGCCTTCTGTGTACCGCGCGGTGAGAAATGTGCCATAAAACGTATTAATTTAGAAAAATGGAATACATCCATGGATGAATTATTGAAGGAAATACAGGTATGTGAGGGATATTTTTATATTTGTATGTATTAAATACAAAAAATTGGTAGCTGATCATAGCTCTAAATTTTACTCTACATCCCTATTTTTATTTTCAGGCTATGAGTAGCTGTAATCATGAAAATGTAGTAACATACTATACTAGTTTTGTAGTACATGACGAATTATGGCTGGTGCTGAGGCTCCTTGAAGGTGAACATAATCTCATGAATTTTTTATTATTTAATTTATGCTTAAGAACTCAATAGTAATTAACAGTTGTGCTGTTTTGTTTAATTGAATCATTAAACTGCTTGTTTGATGAAGTTCAAATACGAGGAAGTGTTCATTGAATTAATGTTTTACTTAATAGTCTTTTCCTTGTTAACTGGCAATAAAATATTTAAAAATATATGCAATACATACTTTGTCTTGTAATGTCTCCATTTACAAATTTTGTTTATGAGTCTAAACAGTGGTGTGTATATTTGGATTATAGTTAGCAAAGCTATTTATTAAGCCCTCCTTTGCCAATATTTCAGGAGGCAGTTTGCTTGATGTTATAAAGCACAAGATGAAAGTGGCAAACTGCAAGCATGGAGTATTTGATGAGGCAACTATTGCTACAGTTCTCAAGGAGGTCCTCAGAGGATTAGAGTATTTTCATAGTAATGGACAAATACACAGGTAACCATTTATATTAAAAAATGCTATGCGTTAAAAAAGTAATTTGTGATTATAAACTCGTGCTCTGAGTGTGCAATTGTACTGCAAAGCAAATGTATTTTCAATTACATAATTATTATGGTGCTTTTTAATTTGTTTTTATAATTACATTTTGTATACTTATTTTATGTCATTTTTGCTTGTATTTTTAAACCAATTCCATTATTTTGCTGGCTGGCAATAACGAAAAAGGTTTTTGTTGATTCAGCATTTATTTTTTTACTTTTGTTTATTCAACTTCTAATAGCATTTTTGTACCAAGAAAACCTTAGATTTATCAAAAAGTATATTGCCTAATTTATTTGCTGCCTTGCCACATTATTATTTGCAAATATCTGCAAAAATGTATAAAGTGCTTATTAAAGTATTTCTCACTGAAGCGAAGGTTGAGTATCAATATTATGATGAATTGCGTTTCAATACTTTTGATGGAGTTGCATAGATTTGTTTTTAAATGGATCACAATTACAATGTATTTTTGCTTTACCTACAAACCTTGGAAGGAAAATGTTGATTTATTATTAGTTGCACAAAATGAGACAACTTTGTGTTGCAAGCTATCATGCGAATTCTAAGATCTATGCAAGTAATTAAAATTGCTAAGCTTTGCATTGCTGAAATGTGATTCGATTATGTGTTTTTGATACTATTAGATAGTTACTTGAATATTTTTTCTCAGGGATATAAAGGCTGGAAATATATTGTTAGGGGAGGATGGGACTGTACAAATTGCTGATTTCGGTGTCTCTGCGTGGCTGGCCACTGGCAGAGACATGTCTAGGCAAAAAGTTAGACATACATTTGTGGGCACGCCATGTTGGATGGCCCCAGAAGTCATGGAACAAGTGAGATTTGTATGATTCTAACACTACTAATACCATTTTCTTATTTTTTGTTTACTAACACTCGTTTAAGCCATGTAGACTGAATCACGTCACTTTTACTTTTTTTAAATTATAAAAAGTAATAGATACAATATTTTATAATCATAGCATTAAATTCATATAATTTATAAATGACATGGTATGGTGGGTAGGTAGAATACTATTCTATCTGGCATTTCTTGAACAGTACAATAGTAATTAAAATACTTTTCATAAGTAAGTTGTTAGTCTCAAGTAAAGGGGTTGGCCATTTACCTATGCTACTAGAATACAATAACGCAGTTATATTCATTTAATGAAAATTGAAAATGCTGTTTGACCTAATTGACAATTAAAATTGTATGTCTATGAGACTTGTATTTTCTATTATTATATTAATACTAGCTATTCTCGCGCGGTTTTACGCGCTGCTCGGCTCCATTTAATCGTAGCGTGATGTTTTATAGCCTTATAGCACTCAGGAACATTGTAGCTATCTATCAGTGAAAGAATATTGGCCAGCCAATCCGACCAGCAGTTCCAAAGACCCCCTACATACAAACTTTACCTCTTTATAATATTAGTATAGATTAAATTTCTAAAATTATATAATAATAGAAAAACAGCTCTGCTATTCCTGCTGTGAATATAGAACATTTTAGGTTTTTTTTTGTTTGCCCTGGAAGGATATAAAAGCTATTATTACACCAGGGTATAAAAATTGCAGGACCATGGGTACGACTTCAAGGCAGATATTTGGTCTTTTGGCATAACTGCTATAGAAATGGCAACGGGAACCGCGCCATACCATAAGCACCCACCAATGAAAGTATTGATGCTAACATTGCAGAATGATCCACCAAATTTGGATACTGGTAAGATATTGAATTACATGCAAATTAGATGACTAAGTAATTATAATACAATATACATTACCTTCTTTGTAACGGTAGATACTATGATGTGTATTCGGTAACACATATGGCTATACATTAATTACAGAATACGGTAGTTTCCAACTAGCCATATTCAATACTTTTATCCATACGTCAAAAACGATACTTTTCTAAGAAATTTGTATGAAAAACTGAGCTATGACGTCATAACATTTTTGCGTCAAACAGCTTACTTATTTCATAATAATTAGCTAAAAATTTAAAACTTAGTGTATCGATCGATCGATAAATAAAAGTATAGTTATTTTTCAATATTTTTTATAGAAGTAGGAAACTACCCAATTTTACTGATATTAATAACGTGAAAGTTTGTATGGGTACATGTTTGTTGTTTGCTGAGCCGTTTCTTGAGCATTATACCGCGGAAATTTTCAAACCCTGTTACCACTTCAGATTTTTGGATTCGAAAAGTCGATTACATTATGTTGCCAAAATTATAAATTAAAGAGAGGATGCCTTGAGAAAGGTTTAGTTAGCTTATGAAGTAATATGAATCGTGTTATGTAGTTACATTGCGTGGTAAATTTACTTGCAACTGACGTAATGTCGGTGCCATAGAAATTTGAATCCAGCGTATCAAATAAAGTTAGCATTATTGAATTGTGACGACTGATTGAATGAAATATGAGATGGATCACGTTGCGTCTGTTGCAGTTTGTTGTCACTGCGTTAACCTTGTTGTGATTATATTCTTGCCTTAATATCCGATTAAAAATAAACAAAAAACGCAAAAGTTCGTAAGTATACATATTACTTATAATTCTTATTCTCACGTAAAGGTACTGAATAGATTTTGATGAAAATTGGCTCAGAGACAATTTATTGTCTAAAACATATGGGTACCGTTGTGAGTAACCGCTGGCAGACGCTAAAAGTAGATATACTAACTACTAATTATGTTGATCCCACCAAACAAAAAGCAGTCATTAAAAATATAACCGATACAAAATTGAATGTTTTACCACAATATTTATGTTATTTAAATATACAAAGCTCTTAGACACTCAGACTAAAATTTTTTTTTTCCGTAAACTATTAGCGGTCCACCCAACATTGAGAAAATACAAGTGCGTCGCGGCCTGTTTGGCTTTTAGGGTTCAGGGAACGAGCAGTAGTGGATTTGACGATTGGGGATGCAAAGAGAGATTTTTTCTGTTAATCATGGCTTCGCCTTACCTATATGATAATTGTACAAATTCAACAAGCAGTCTGTAGGTTTAGCATGGCTTGATTGATATGTAACCATGTGCATATGTTTCATAAAAGCAAAAGAAACCTTTATTAAAATTATTAATAAAATGGTAACAGATTACAATTGCAAAAATCACCGGATAAGACTGAAGTGTATATGAAATTCGAATCGAATAAATTATGCATAATACATAGAAATGTGACATTCATTTACCTTCCCGAGATCAGAGTCACCTTCGTTTGCATTTTAACAGGACATTGTTTACAACAACATTACGCCTGTAGCATGAAATATTTATTTTTATTTTAATTTTCCTCTTTAGATAAATGTTTTTATTTATAGGTGCGGATGAGAAAGAACAATACAAAGCATATGGAAAAACCTTTAGGAAAATGATCGTAGACTGCCTGCAAAAGGACCCATCGAAAAGGCCAACCGCTACAGAGTTACTGAAGCACCCATTCTTTAAGAAAGCGAAGGACAGAAAGTATTTGACGCAGACTCTAGTTGCTATAGGACCTAGTATGGAAACTAGGGTACATAAGGTAATACTATATTAAAAATAATTTATACAGTAGGACCTTTAATCACTTGATTTAAATAAACGATTCCTTTTTTATCGTGTACAAAATGCTTAAAAGGTGAAGACAGCCAGGGTTGTCACAAACATATTGCTTTTCCGTCATCGCATTTACACGGCGCGACATACAGCACAAGCGTTAGTTCACGCCGGTATTTTATAAAGCTCATTCCAGTCGATCTGGTTCAATTAGTTCTGAATACTTCAGGCTCAAACACTTAACACATTCATTGCCCCCGACGCGTATGTGCGTGCGAGGAAACGCACATACGCGTCGGGGGCACTGAATGTGTTAAAACAATATATTTACATTTACAACAAATTTGGTCAGTGACCAACCCCACAAAATGTAATTTACCACAATAGACATCCGAAGCATATTTATTACAATAAACTAGCGGCCCGCCCCCGCTTCGCACGGGTCCAGCTATCTCGATATTAAAGGGTCACTTTTTCCTAAACTTCCTCTCTACTTTTCTAATATTTTCTTTGATAAGAACCTTCTCCTGACAATAACAAACACAACAAAAAAAGAATTAGTAAAATTGGTCCAGGCATTGTTGAGTTATGCGTTTACCAACACATTTTGCGATCCATTTTTATATATAAGAAGATTATAATAAGTTAAGTTTCGTAAATGCTGAAATCACACTGATATTGTTGGCTATTTGTCATAACCGACCAGGTACAGCTAATGTCAAGAATGTACCTACCAAGTAAATTCTAGTTGCGTTCTTTATTTTCAGAAACCTACGGTGTAGAACAATCTCATAGTTTTTTATAAAAGACTCCTTTGATTTAATTACTGCCCGTTTTTGGCCCAATGACAGAGGAATAAATGTAAAAAATCATGTTACGGTAAACATCACTGTTATGTAAATAGAACGATAGAAAAAAAATGTTGGTGTCTAACAGTTAGACTCCAATTTATTTTAGTTATTCGCTACTTTATTTATAACATATTCTAGGCGAGCAAGCGTTCCACGGGTGCGTCTGGCAGGTTACACCGCACAGTGACGGGTGAATGGGTATGGAGTGAGGAAGACGAGGAACAGCCAGCTGCCGAGGCGCCAGAATCTGATGACGAGCCATCCTTTACTGACGACCAGAGACCAATGAACCAGTTACAGAAGGCTGACTCTAGCGGCAGTGACAATGAAGGCGAGGTAAGCTTTGAAACAAGATTGTTAATCGAGTGCCTAGTGCAAGATTTTTCACCTTTCCTATCTAATCGCGTCAACGTAAATTACGATTTGTATTGTAAGGGTCGGTTAAGAGTCTATGTTAGAAGCGCTCTCGAATAAAACCGCATCTTTTGATTGGCGACCTTCCACTCTATTATAGCTTGAAATCGGGCTATACTATTCTATTGAAGATTCTCACGATCTGTTGATAACAAAGATATAAATTGGTGCAAAATTTGAAGTGTATATTTTTCCAGGAAACGCAAGCGAAGCCGCCAAAACAAGCCCCGGCGCCCCCGGCTCCAGCTCCAGCGCCACCCCCGCCACCAGAAACTGCAAAGACTCCATTTGGCTTAACATCTGGCGGAGTGCCTCCGGTCGTGAACTTAGTGCTACGATTAAGGTTGGCCCCAAATTAATTTTATCCTAGAGGGCGGTAAGCCTGATGGCATACCCCTACACAGTTTAATTCCTGTCGGGGTATTATTTTAAAACATATACTTATCTTTTATTTGCATTTAGCCTAAGATTCTTTGCAATGTTACATCGCCTTAGAACTATAGGTGTTTTAATTTGATCTTTAATTAATATCGTTACAGGAACGCTCGCCGTGAGCTGAACGACATACGTTTCGAGTATATAGTCGGCAAGGACACTGCTGAAGGCATCGCTTTGGAGTTAGTAGGGGCTGGCTTGGTCGACCCTCACGACTCAGTCCCCATCTCCGTAAACCTGGCTAAGTTACTCGATGCACAGGTGTTGCCTGGTACTTCCCACCCTAAAGCGGTTACATTCCATTTGGTAAGCATTTCTTTTTCTAACGACTCGCTGTTTGTCCGAAGTTCGTAAACTGGCCAATGATATTTTCTATTGAGAAAACATTTTACTGTCTGACATACCCAATGGTACTCATCAGGTGAGACGATATACTTCTCGCGAGTATCAAATGAATAAAGTGAACCGTGTTTCCACTCACCAAATGAAGTTAATATAATGTGAGGTCTGTTTAGACATAATATTGATTGGACAAACGCTATGCTAACTTCATCTGGTAGTCTTACAAATATAACATTTACCGCGCACAGCGTGTATGTGAAAATACTCATGATGTAGTAATCTTTAAAATATAGAAATAATTTCTGTAATACCCAATTGTTTCGATTTCAGAATTCGGCTGGACCCAACGAGCAGTTCGATGACAAAACACTGATAGGATTTGCGCAAATCTCAATTATTGATTAAGGACAGAAGCAGGGTTGAAATAATGTGTAAGAGGCAATGTGTTTGGTGGCCGGCGTCTAGCTATATGTACTTGTATTTGTTTATGGTGCTAAAATGTGAAGGCTTCATAAAATTACGGTAATTTAATTTCCCTTATATTATTACGTTATTATTGGCCATTTTTTTCCATCGAGCCAAAGAATTTTAGTCTTAAAACTTAATTATCGTTTTGGTGAGTAGTTATAAGATTTATTGTTTTTTGTTTTGTTACTGCGTATGCGTTGCCTGTTCGTAAAAAATAATATAAAATTGTTTTATTGATTTATAATAATTATTATTACTGAATGTATGAGTCGCCGTTTAGCCATGGATGTCTGTAACGTCTAGATGTTTTTAGGGCTAGCAATTACTTTTACCAAACATATCTTGATGTGTTCCTTGCATTGTAGATTAAAGTCGTCTGTCAGTATATTATACTTTACAGAGCAGTCTCAGGTTTTCTTAAATTAAAAGTTGAAAATTTCTCTCTTTATTTCCTTAGGTAGCCAGTTTCGAAAGTCAGTAAATGTAATTTATGTATTACGACTACGAAATACGATACGTAATTAATAGTCTTACAGTTAGTATGATTGAATTACATGTTTGTAGTGTGTGACCTGCATTATCTTCAAAGCATTGGACCCTACAGTTATAAATCAATTAAAATGGTTTATTACACGATTTTTATTTAGAGGGCGTCAGTATTACAGTCCTCATTGACTCTAATTAAGACGAATTAGAGAAGGGGCATTATTGACTGTTGTTTCGTAATTATAAACCCTATAGCGACTACTTAAAATCTAGAATTGTCCAAAATAGTACTTGCTATTTGCAATCTATTTGTAAAATGGGATATTGAATTTAGATCAAGGTTTTTACCGCAGGTAGTTAATATATTAGAATTATACAAGTTATGGTATAATTTGTTCCTAACGAATTTTTAGTATTGAGATTTATCATCTAATTAGTCTATGAACCAATTCCGACAATATGTGACTAGATTGCTTTTCAGCCATAATAGAGCACCTTGCTCACTGTATTGATATAATTACTTTATATATTTAGATGCTTGTATTCCTTAAAATGATGATCTGATTATTTAAATAGACATAGTTTGTGCTAAATAATATTCGATTTTTATATATATTTTTTAATAGCGCACTTTTTTACATTCCTTCTTTGTTTCTATTGTTTTATGCACTTTATAACTTTAATAAAAATGCTGAATTATCGGTAACAAATAAATCAGTTCTTTGTTTAAATAAAATGTTAAAAAATAATACAAATTTGCTGTTGTACATACTAAATTCTTATGAAACGACTTAATATTAACTTGAAACAATATCAGTATTATTATATCGTAACATAATTTTTTACTCTTCTGTAGTCATTGTTTTAGGGAGTTTATTAAATTACGTGGAGCTGTTGTGTGTATTTTATGAGGTGTATAATATTATATGGCGACATTACACTGTGACCCGTCTAAAATGGTGTCCTGAGACCAGTGAAGTATATTATCTCCTGCATATCGGAACTTATTAGCTTAACGGTTAATTTCATATAAATATGCCATTAAAAATTAATCAATAACCATTTTTTTATTATCTAAAACGCTGTTTAATATATTTTTTGATAGTTACAATCGTGAGACATAGAGAATTTGTGGAAAACCATTCGGATCATAGAGAATTTCTGGAAAACCATTCGGATGCGCAACGTTGACGCGACGCGCCCCGTAAGAGTCCCGAATTTCTTAGTTAATTCGCGCTTTTCAATGCCATTTGTGAGTGTGTCCGACACTAAATAATTCCTTATTTGACGAAAAGTCGAGTAAGACTCCAGAAGCTGGAACTGCTGAATAAAAAAGAAAAAAAAACTTTAGCTCTTATTATGTAGTTTTTTATACAAACAAGATAATGTATGTTTCAGCTAAACCCAGTCTCCCTCCGCTGCGATTGCAGTGCTCTGTCGAAATTTCGCCAACACACCAAATTTCTCACGTAATTTGTGAACATCCCATAGCAATATTGCTTAGGAGAGCTCTTTAAGTGTAATCAGTAGCACTATTCCATTGTACTAAGAAACATTCGAGTCACTGATAATATTTTTACATACATTCTTTTCTTGTTTCTGCAATGTCGTAAATACAGGTGTTACATCAAATAAAGTTGAAGTAAAAGCTAAAGTTGATCTTAATCTATCTATTAGTAGCGCCCTCTGTGCCTACGGACAGGAGGTTCATACTCTCATATTCTTCATCCGACTCTTATGTTTCTGGTTTTTCTCTTGCGCGCGCGCATCGCCGAACATTACACGCGTAATAGTTAACTCAGGGCTTATTTCTCATAGTCAGATAAATGTTACCTGAGGAATAAAATTGTTGCTATCACTGTCTTATACAAACATTCTGACGTGACAGCATCATAATTATTCTCCGGGTAACTTTTTCCTATCCGTAGGAAAATCAGCCCTTAATGTAGCTAAATATTCTTAACTTTTGTATATTATAATGAACATTTATAAGTTAGTGCGTAGTGTTTAATTTAAACCTGAACACTATAGACACTACAAAATTAAGATGCTATGATAAAAAATATCTTATCAACATTAAAATATATATTTCAAGAAATCTTATCTTATCATTCTTCTATATCATACTTATTAACTTACGTACATCTGTTTATATTTATTAATTAATCTTTTATATAATATATTTTAATTTCTTACAAAATCAGGTAACTTTCTCTTTATATTCAAAGGACGAAAGAAAATACTACTTATTCGTGGTACTAAATATTAAGTTTATTCTTTGGTCTTAGTGTGAATTTGTATTGTGTTTGTCCATTAGAACATAATTCAGGGTATTTGCGAACAAATTTATTATTTCATAGATCTTAAATCTAAATACAAGGTAAAATGCTTGGAAGTGAGGTTAGCAACTACATATTTGTTTCTTTTATGTGCAATACATTTCTTAATAGAATTTTCGGAGAGGAATGATTTAGGGTGCATCGTAAATACTGCGTTTGTTTTTAAGACGGTCGTCTTTTAATAAATTCCTGGTTATCATGATACTTTGGGCTTTTCGAAGTAGTGAAATAATTGAAAATCGACGACTAAGTTGTGAATTGTTCTATAAAAAGTAAAAACATTGATTGATTTTTGTAGTGTAGTAAAGTTTGGAATTTAATTTTAGTGAGGTTTATTTTTAATCGTATTCTGCCAGCTAGTTTGTTAAAATCATGTAAACTCTATCGTGTATGGCCTCCATAAGAAGGTTATGCAACTGTATTTATCGGTGTCTGTTCATAGAAAGTTGTTCTGTGACTTATATTTTTTTCTTTTTTCAATATACCTACTATTTGATTCATTTTGTGGTTATGAATATCTTGTTGTTCTGTACTGTCTGAGAGAATTAATGTTCTCAAGTTATTGCTGTTTTTGTCTGCATTTGATTATTACCATTTGTGCAAAGAATTCATTAATCACTGTTTTCCTACTATATAAATACGTTTAATAATTGAAATTTGCTTTACTTTATTCGAATTAAAACTACGCTATAATTCTAGTTTTTGCACAGTAGCGTCCTCCATAATTTGGTGACTAACTAAGCAGTAGTATTTAAAGTTCAATACATTTGACGAATTGAAACTTTACCGCGTTAAGCACTCTGATGTCAAACTTGCAACAAGACCAATCAGATCGTCGTATGTCATAATCGAGAAGATCGTCGTAACAAAGCAAAAGCACTATATACTCGGACGGCCACTATGTACCACAATACGCGAATAAGATGTATTTTTTCTACTATACAAATCTTCATGCTTTCTAATCTGTACATACCTGTCCATTCCCATTTCAAATAATTGCGCATTTATTTATACATAATATTAGTATGATAAAAGAAAGTTGGTAGTTTTCGAAAAGAAACTAAACAACTTTACCTTCTAGTGCTTTGTAAATTAATTTTAATTCTCTGTTAATAACATAATAAAATAATTTTACAGCAAAGTGAATAAGCCGGGTAAAATCTATAAATAATATATAAAAAACGTGATTTTTAGTATTATTTTCTACGATCAATCTATTGGTAATTGTGTCAATGTTAGTATCATATATTTTATTTCGTATGTAGATACAGGGTTTTAACATTAGTTAAAAATTATTTTTTTACTAAGTTAAGTTTGTTTTTGGGCATATTCGTTTTTAAGTTTCTAAATCGTTGTCTATAAATGTATCGTAGTTGAGGATGAGGGTGTGTGCGTAATATAATTCGCAATTTCGCAATATTCACTGTTATTACGTTTATTTTGTAGACTGTTAAGATTTCCGTCGGTAAAATAATTTGAGATATTATTAAGTAGAAACTGTAAAACTATTGTTTAGTTGCAATATGTTATAGAATTTGTTTTCAATGGATTGTTCTCAATCTATTATGATATCTTTTATGGCTGGGTCTCGACTAAGATTTTAACGTGATGTGTTACTTTAAATAAATATAGATATAATTTTATTAGTTCGCACGTATCGCACTGTGTACAAAAAGTTTAAATCTTTCATGTTACATTGTAAAGCACATAGCACCTACTACTCTGTTATTCCATCTTTGGTGAACCTGTAACTGTGAGAAGTATACATAAATGCACACAAATATTTGATATGGCATGCAATAGCAGCATCAATGACTGCATCAGTCTAAGGATAAGTTAAATTTTGAATTTGTCTATCTCAGTTATCCTACAAAATCCCCGTTTTTTGTAAAAGGTTAATGTTTCATTATTTTAGTTCAGACGTTACTTATTCTACGATTGACAGATGGCGCAAGTGTCGATTAAAGTCCAAAAGTCCAACCGTAAAGAGTGCCAATATGTTGATAAATTTTGGGCTCTCCTTTCAAATTTTTTGATACTGGTGACTCTGGTACTTTTCTAATTACATCTCAAACTGGGGCTTTATCCAAATAAAAAAAACACACATTGAGGAAGAGTAATAGGTGTATCAAGAACACAATGATGTTCTTATTGCTAAAAATTCATTGAAAATATTTAAATTCATTGATTAACATTCGTAGCGGATTTAGATTTCAATAACCAACTTATTGTGTGTAAAATCTATAAATAAAATTCAATGTTAAATTGATAGTTTTGCTAATTGCGAAACTGGAACTTATTTTATACACTTACGTTATTTTGTGTTGTAGAGCGTACAGATATGCCTATCCTAGGTTCGGATGGTATTTACGCTACAAAGTACAATAACATATTTGGCCAGTAAATTCTGATAACACAAATTGTTTTGCTGAACTAATAAAAAAAAAATATTTCAGCACTCATTGGGGTAAACCCTAAGATAGCTGCCCAGTGTATGAAATTATTTTTATTCCTACAAAAGTCGCTTACAATGTCAAGTAGATATAAATTCCCTGTGCTGTGCCTTGCTATCTTCGCTTAGACTATAGATAAACCTGCCATACGTGAGTCATAAGGTCGTGATCGTGACGAATACTATAATTAGATATTTGATGCAATGACGCAATCTCAACAGAATCACTTATCTAGAGATCAATGTGAATCTTCGTTGTCCAACGTAGCTCTAACATATTCCCTAGTAAGATTCGATCCTTTGATATTACGCATTTATAGTATAGATAATGATAAGTGTACACGAAAGTTTTAATGCAATTTAGTGCAATTGTAATGAACACGTCTATTACTAAAATTACTATGTGACTTATAGATCTTGCACGTGGCACTTTTGTTATTGTAAACGTATTTTTTACATATCATTAGTGCGAAAATTTACGATAGCGCTATATTTTCTGTCCTTGAACTTTTCTTATCAAAAGTCTATATTTTGTACGAATGAAAGCCAAGGTTCCCCGCAAGTTGAGGGGCCCGATTCTCGGCGTGCGAGGTCGTGTTTAGGGATGACTGATGTTATGTAACCGAGTCACATTAGAGGAGCAAGTGATGCACGCATGTGACTTTCTCTTATCAGAGACATTATATTCTACAGCGAGACAATAATCAACTGGTATTATTAATAAATAGGTACATGTCGTAGCCCATTTAGCTAGATAGTGACCTGACTAGGTGATTCACGATTTTGTTGATTTACACCCTACATATCTTTGGACGTACGCTTTATGTTTAGGCAAATCTGGTCAAATGGGGATGTTGACGGTCTCAAAAGCTCTGTCGAAAGAACTTGAAAAAATCTCTAATCTAATCAGGTAAATTCATGTTGTTATTGATATTATTGAAAAATATTTCAGTCATCATTCCTAATGAGATCAATCAAAACTTAGAAAATTAGTGGTTGTGGAGTAGTATCGTAATTATAAAATAAATCGTTTGAGTGTATACAAAATTAATCAAATATTGATACGACGTATACAAATATACATTAGTTAATTTTTTTGGTAAAAATGCATTTTTGCCCCACTGAGCTGTTTTATTAAATGAATGTAAATTTAGATTTTCCAAAAGATCAATTACCTATTAATATTCAAACGATTTATTTTCGTGGACTTGGAACTTGTACGTCCTTCTAATTATGCATTTGGATGTTGTTCATAAATTAATTCGGAAATTTGATGTTAACATTTTAGGGGAAAAATGTATGTGGTAAATAGGTCGGGCCAAAATCGGCGTGAAATCTTTGCAAAACACTTTTCTGTGTTTCACTTTCATTCAACAGTACTACTTTTAACAACATGTTCTTTTTAAAAATGTCATAGACTATAATTATTTTCGAAATAAATTCAAGCACCTTCTTAATTCTCCTATTATTTTAACATCGAGTTTCCGAACTGTATTCAGGGGTCTAGAAATATTGACAACACATTATAACAGCCATAGCTGTGCAAATAATTTATACATTATTATCATATAGATATTAAAATATACAACAATAAAATTGATCGCATTAAATGTTCATAGACTTATTGATTTTGATCGCATACCCATTTATTATAGGCATTATTAATATAACATGTGCGCGGTAACTTGGGACCTCAGTGTTGGAAATATACTGATAACAATTTTATACCATTTTCTTTTAAAGAATATATCATTATTTCGTCTACAAGATGTCCAGTGCTAAAAATATTTATTCTACCTATTTTTTTATTGTTATTGTAACAACGATAATTCGTATTACGTCGCCTTCACACGGGTGTCAAGTTATCCCGCAATTGTTATACATAATACAATAAGTGTATAGTTACCTCATGTGAACAGTATTCGTATACTCATTATTGATGAGTGAAATCTATGTAAAAGCCATAAGACACATGTTCATATTTAACTAATGTCACATGCATATACAAGTGACAAGCGTAGTGGGGAAATCCCGCATTTATTTTTATACAAGAGTAAATGAGACCATCACCGACAAATATTGTAAAGTAATCTAAACTTTATATACTTGTAATTACGAACGAAAACTGATTCTAAAGTATTTGCCTATGCGTTATACACGTTTCTTATAATAGGAAATCTTTCATCGATCTTTTATCCTTATCACGGAATTAAACATTATGTGGTGTGTTTTCAGTGTGCTATATACATTGTACATGTATTTAATGGATGTATTAAAATTATGAAATTGATGTTTTAATAAATGTAAACATGATGAGTTGGTTTATACGAGCCAGCTGCACTATGTACGTAAGTTAATAATTTATATTGTATGCCAAATGCAATTATTCACGTTATTAATTATTATGAATCTTTGATTAGCACATTTCTTTATCCATTTCATGTGTCAAAATTTGTTAAAATGGTGCCTGAAAGCGCACAATATTGTTTTGAGTTTTTGCGTCGCAATAATCATTTTAGTATCTCAATGCTTATGTAACATGTTTTATGGTCTTATGATTAGCAGTGACGTTAATGTATGCTTATGTGTATTGTATAAATACTATAAATCACTTCAGTTTATAGGTATCATTTTAGTCTCCATTTTACCAAACAAGATGTCCTGAGATATGTTGTCGCTTAGAAATACATTTTTATTGTACGCAATCAGTATCTGTACGAGTAAGTGTATGGAGTCTGTGTGCTGAAAACAAAATTCGTTATTAAATAAAACTATAAAAGAAATTTTTATTTGTTTATTTTTTTCCCAATAGCTGCAAAACCTTTGCAAATTATAGGAACACAACATCGGTAAAACAAAGTTAACTAATAGGTACATTGTAGGTATATTATGTTTGATTCGCTCAAAGTACCATAAATATCGGTACAGTTTGACTATCAATGGTATCAAAGCTTTGCAACTACTAATTCTAAATTGTACCGTCTCTTCCTTGAAGATACAAACCAAAATTAATTTCTAACGGTCTTTGTGGGCTTCTGTCCGTGTAGTTGACCAAGAGGTACATCGAGTAAGCAGTCTGAGTTTCGGCCTCCCTCGTATAGATATAGGCTTGGAAAACCATGTGCGATTCAGTGTCCATTGCCATGTTTTATTGAGTGATGGCATTCTTTGGATATATTGATGCAGTCGGTTTTTTTCGGTCGGTTTCCCGAAGACACGCAGGAGCATAAGGTTGCAGTGTGCCCTGCTTGGGCTGAACATCGACGTTTCTCCACGGCGGCCAGCTCTTGCGCCCGGCCTTAGGCGAGGCCATAGCGTTGCTGCAGCTGCAGTTATGCTTCTAAAGAAGCAGGCGGAGCGCGTGAGGGAACTATCGTCTTCCTCCTCAAGTACCAGCCGCAGCAGTAGGCGACACTCACAGAGTCTGACATTCTCTCTCGCGTGTCCGGGAGAAGTCATTTGATGTTTTACGATGTGTTAATCACACATCGGGATTCCGACCCTTTTTTTATGTTGTGTCATACACTAGGTAAGATGTGGTAAAATGACTTGCAGACACTTCATCGGACACTAAAAATAGTTAAACAATCCTTCTATAAAGCTAGCTAGTTAGTATATTAACGCTTTAAGCGCTTTTGGCACGATCTAGGAGTTACCTACGCAGTGTGCATACAGTACAGTTTTGTAGTCAATCTCTCGGTCTAGGTGTTTCGTACGGGGTGTTTTTTAGGAGGTGCGAACACCCCTGGAAAGCAGCCTGTTCCTTCACCTATTTAATACCGGGGACGTGGACATTATTGCGCTTGCACCCTCAACTCCGGCTGAACATCAACCTTGTTGGGTCCCATCTGTAGTGGCATATTGGTTCTTTAAAGAGTGCACGGTATGCTACTTGCACTTGTAGCTTTCGCACCCCTATGAGTAAGACATGTCTTTCGTAACTTTGTTAGTAAAATAAACCTAAAGTAAGTCATTTGCTTGTTGGCAACACATTCGTGATGCGTTTGGTGTTGCACTTGAATTAGTGGAGTTCTTGGAGCTAGATGTGGTTATCAAATTATGAATGAAGAAAAAGGAGTATATTTCGATAAAGTTCAGTCAGGTATTACCTTACCAACGGTTGCCTCTGTGTATTTCAGAACAAAATGAAAGTTTCTTGATTCGGCACAATACACGCTAAATTTAAATTACTAGGAGGAAGGCAGGGGGAAGGGAGTGTCATACTCTTACCGACCCCAGCTGAACAACAGGACTAAAGGGCCCTGGTCTGCGGTGGTACGTTGTGGTGCGCGCGGAACGCTACTCGCCGTCCGCAGACCCGAGCTTACGTTGGCCGAAGGTCGTCTCTCGGCATGATGCTATGCTCGATCGATTATTGGAGTGAAATGACTTTCTACGACTTGTCGTCGAGTAGGCAACTGACTTTTCGTCTAACAAGCCCTCATTCTGCAGGTGATTCCGGACATCGGTGCCATGGACGCTTGAACTCTAACCCCATTCTACGTCTACTCAATAAACTTAAAGAAAATGGTGGCATAGTGGTCATGTATGCCATGTGGTATGCCTGGCACAAGACTAGCTATGCGTTGATGTAGATTCGTTTTAGGGCGAGACAAGTCATTCGATTACCAAACTAGATACAGGTACCTACATTATATTTTAATATTCTTCTCGCTGGTATCTATACACATCCCTCGTACATCCTACTGCCTTAGGGATGTGTCATAACAGATATTACACAGTTGGGAATCTGGATTTAGTCTATACCGAGAAACCGGATGCTGATGGTGACCTCGGGGTGGTGTTGGTGAGGTGGGAACAATATTAAATTATTTTTTACCTGTATGCATAGTAAGGTAACCAAATGAGTTCTTTCGCCCTGAAATAAATAAACATCAACGCATATCTACCTATACCTACGTACTTATACCAAATGTAATCTAAAACTGTGCAGTTTTAATCATTTAGTGTCTACCTATTTGTTTACAACTTTCTTTCGTATGAAAACCGTATTTAATAAGTAGGTACGACATCTCTTAATTTTTGCGTTTTCATTCCGTATTCTAGTATCTAACATTCAGCAGTATAGCGCTCGACCTCAGACGCTCGTATTATAAACAAACAATTGCAGTGTTTTATTTATTTACTATCCATAAAATGTTCAAGGAAACTAAAAATAAAGTTAGGTAGGTACTCTGAAACCCTGACCCAATTTAAGATCGTAGAAGTTTTCGCATTATTCCGTTAATATACTTGTACTGATTACTGATTAGAGCATTATCTTGGACCGATAGTACCAAAGACGCTGAATGTGGCCGCCTAGCCGGACTCAGGACGGCTGCGCACACGATGCGAAGCGCGAAACTTGATACCTACAGTTCCTGGAATGATATTGCGAGTCGTATACTTAATCTACAGTGTACATAAATTGCTTAATGAAATCGTCACATGAGCGCCAGTTCACAGGTCACACCAGCGACAAACAAATTTGTATCAAGGTCAAGTGCGGGCTCGACCAATCAAACGGTTACCTAACAATTATTTCTGTTTTCATGTCAAAACATTCTTTTATTTGTTTCCTACATACCTACTCAAAAGACGCGACAACAATTTATTCTGGAAACATTCATCTTAATACCTACTAAGGAAATAGTACTCCCACAAATTGTTAATAAAAAAAATCATTATAGGTACCCCCATTTTGACATATTATTATGTTTGTTCAAAGTACAAACAAAAATAAAACTTTCAAATTGTTTATATAGTACATAGTAAGTATATCAAAACAGTTTATACGCTTGTAAATATGTGCTTACATTGAAAGCGATAACCAACCACGTGATTCGTCAACATTTTTTCGCGAAAGATCTGTGTTGTGAAGTGACGAAAGGGGGTGGCGTGGGCTGTGAACTAAAGTGGAGTGGCGGAACGACAAGGAGAGTGGAAATAAGTGTGTCGTTAAAAAATACGCATTTAAAAGTTTATATTGGCAGGGACGCGGACATACACAGTAAGATGTGATGCGCATAGTGGCGAGGCGCGTTGTTTATCATTGCGGGTCTATATAAGCGTCTGAACGGACCGGCGTGCTCATACATTAACGGAATACACCACGCTACTAGTACACAAGCGATTCCTCCACACTATTTCAAAATGAAACTACTGAAAATGATTGTGTTTGCATTCTTCGCACTCCTGGTGGTTGCAGTGAGGTCCAATCCCCTACCTTTCGAAAGTAAGTTTAAATTTAGAACTGCATTTTAAAGCTTATGTTTAAATTTAATCATAATTCTATTTTATATTTTGTGTACAAAAATTAAACGCCATTAAAAATAAGTTATTTTTATTACAAAAAAATGTGCTAAAATAAGAACAGACCCAAGAGTGTTACCTATTTAATATCTGTTCTACTTTTTATCAATACTATTGTACTAAAAGTGGCCAGTACCCTAACCAGCGAATAGGTTACGTGTGCAAGCGATGCAAAATAGCGAAGTGGCTTATCTAAAAAGTTTCAAAACAAAATTCCAGTGCATTTTAATATTAAGCAAAAAATGTAACCTATCAGGTATTCATTTCAAAAATAAACAGTAGATAGGTAAAACGAAATAATTTAATAAAAATAAGTATATTTTAATGAAAAACTTAATTATTATTATTTACTTGTTGCTTGCTGTTCCCACACTCAAGATTCATTTGTTTAATTTATGTTGTACCTACTAAATCTACTAATTAAAAAGTGTAGGAAGTGTGGCCTAGTGCGCTGCACTGTAACGATCCTAAATTGCCAATGGACTTAGTTTCAGTGAGGCAAGAGGCTTCATCCACATTACCAAGTAACTTTAAAATATCTATCGAATTACGTATATTTTTCTATATCTGTGCCAATTTCATATAGATTAGTTTTTATGTAAAAGACTATATAACATCAATACATGCCTCATAGGATTAGAAGGATTTAATTATATAATATTTTGTCTGTCAATGGGCCAGCCATCTAAAGCCTCGATCATTGTTTCATGAAGCTTGTAGGTTGATATTATGAAGGAACTCCTCTTGAAGCGAAAAAATATTTCAGTGTTTATTTGGCAGCAAACTATCACCGACATCTTGGACCTAGATTTCGATATCGGTTCTATTTTTAAATGAGAATATTACATAGTCAATATACATATCTAAAATACAGAGACAAAATTTAAATGCTGTATTCGCCTGTTAATGCTAACCTGTTGCCAATTTCGCCTGCGGTAAGGCTTGCGTCGATTCGGGTTATGTCAATCAATTAAACACCCTCCCCATTCATAGTTTTGTTACATCTCACTATCTCCCCCAAATTAATATTACTTTTTATTAGCTTTAAATGTGTAAATGTCATGTGTCATTTGATTTTGTGATGACGTTATAAGACGCTGGAAAAATCTTCAAAGGCTTATCTAAATATTAACTGTTTATATTATAGTAAAATTTTAAATTCGTTACTTTACCATTACTATTATCAGATGTTCCTATGTTTATTTATGCTATAGGAACACAAAATCTCCTTAGATTGACAGGTCCGACGATGGACTTTTGCCAACCGTGTATAAAAGTCTATACTATTGTTGAAAGATCTCCCGAAACTTGGACTCTATTTTAATACTAAGGAGACTAATAGGCTCTAACAGTCCAATGCTGTATCATTTTCTTCTTTTCTTAGTATATTGTCTTCGCTACAATACAATAAACTTAATAATATTAGTTAATTGACTATGCACCTCTTTATTGCAGTCTTAAAGATAGAAAAGAGAAATAGAAAAGGTTAGGGGATGTCTTCTGTCTGTTTTCGTTCTCAGACCTGGGAATTCCGTTCTTTCAGAAATGTACCTATAGGTACTGGATAGAGGTTCTTACTTATATCGAATCTTATATATTTTAACTAGAACACTACCGATAAAGTTTTTGAATTCAGCTAATATGAAAAGTAGATGCCTAATGTTTACTCAAAGACTGAAATCTCAGCTTAAGAACAAATTATGAGAAGTCCCAATAATGAGAGGGCTTTTGTCTCATACAATTTTCAATTGATCGACCTTGGAAAGAACTTGAGCTTGTTGTAAAAATAGTTTTAAACCCCATATACGTAAGTAGGTTTGGCAAAAATGAACTTTATGTTAAAAGTTATTAATCTTATTTTAGACAATAGTTACTAACTAACTTACTTACTGGTTTTGTTAAAAACAAAGCGATTGATGAATTCCTGTTAAAATTAAAACTATGTTGACGTCATGATTGTTTACATTATTGCGATAAGTACCTACCTAATTATTGAACTACCAAAGCGTGCTGTATACAATTGTATATTTATATATTATAATTAGATAATAGTAGTAATGGTACTTTTATATCCGTTTGTATCACGTGAATTCTATTTGCGATTAAATTAGGTTATTCGGTATCAGGCCGTAGACTAGCAAATTCAAATTAATTGTTATCATAAAATCATGGGAGAACTAAATCATAACCAAGTATTAATGCAAGTATATTATGGCCGAAACCTTCGCCATTTCTAAGGATTCTTGGAAATTACAACGGTGTACTAATTGCCTTCCACTTACACTACAAAAGCGACGTATGATGTACGGGAGGGTATTGTATTAAGTACAAAAAATATTATTAATTAATAATGCATAAACATTTAATATATGTAAGTACTAATTTTCTTGCTGACACTACTTTCCACGTAGATTTTAAAAGAAGTTTTAAGTAATTCTTTGTTTATATTTTCTTAATAGTTTCTATTATAGAGTACTCTAGAGTATCAGTTCACTTTTCATCGCGAATGTTCTTGCGTACTTGTACCTGATAAACAAACTACCTAATAAGCTTTTTTGAGGAGAGAAACACCTCCTTCCGCCCTGGGTGTCGTGAGAGGGTTTGTCGAGACTCTTATTGACTAAAACTACTCCTGCTCGTGTTCCGTCGCATCTACAACCCTTCCTAATAAAACAAGGATGCAATAATCATTGTTGTGTCGAAAAAAAACAATAGATTTTATCATCAACATCCTACCATAATATCACGCAGAGCAGTTCTATCCGGGTGGGTATGAACTCTCAGCCAGGCTCTCTCTTGTGTTCGCAGACTGTTGACGGTCGACAAGCAGAAATTATCTATTGCGTATGCTGTATTAAAAGTTAAGATAGATTCACCGTGACTGAATTATTTATAAGATTATGTATGGTTTAGTTTTTGATCTTGATTCCGTTAATGGTCTTTGTTTGCTAAAGTTCTCATATTTATAACATTTAATGAATAGTATAAGGTAATATCAAAATAGGTTTTTTAAAATTTAATAGATTTCGCTCGATGGCAAACCGTAAATTCTCTTGGCTAATTAAGAATCCGAATGAACTATGAACGGAAACTCCCAAGATAAGGCGAATTTTGTGGAATCTTATATCAGGCCCTTGATCCACCCGCCTAATAACCTCAGGAGGTCATGATCGAGGTCGGCTTGACGATAGCAGGCAATGGCGTCAAATCATGTGACAAATCATTTGATTTGATGACGAGGATTCAACGATGGTTAGTCAGATATTAACGATCTTATTAATTATATTTTCAACTTTGTCACCTATATTTAAGATAATATGTGTAGTTGTAAGTTGCTAAGAATTATTACTTTATCTATTCTGTAGGAAAAACTAATGAAATAATTGAGTGAACGACCATTATTAAGCTTTTTTTTACTTTACCAATGATTGTTGATGGAAGTAATGTACGTATGGTAGTTTTACCATCGACTAAGAGGTACCTAGGTAATGTTTTCAAAAAAGGAGAAAGCTATAAAACTATCTTCATATAAAAAGAAAATTAGGGTGATGAAGACCATCAATTCGAGATTGAGAAAAATATTATATTCTTTCCTTTTTTTGGTGTCTGACTTGACATAAAGTACGCACACCCTACTACCTATATTACTATCCTATGAATATTATGAATGTGAAAATTTTGTGACAATGTATTGATGTTTGTTTATTATTCTTTCACACAAAAACGGCTGAACCGATTTAGTTGGAGTTTAGTTTGTAGATAGGTTTCAACATAGCCAGTCCAAGTTCTATCAGTTAGAATAACTCAATATTGTAAGTTACGACTACTTTACAGTTTGATTGTCTTAGTTTTAAATTTTGTTCAAAACGATAAGCACTCAATTTACACCAATGATATTACTTATAAAAGAAATGTTTTATTGGGCACTATTTAAAAAAAAAAACGCATTATTTTGTACTTACTTATGTATAGGTTACGGATTAGGTATATGACAATGTCACGTGTAATGCGAATCACTAGTATTGATAAATAAATAAATTGTTTGGAGAAAGTGTGATATAGAAATAAAACTGACACGAAAGGTTATGTAAACTGCTTCGATAACCTTTTATGATTAATCCGTAAGCTGGGCTTAATGGCTAACACATAGTTAATGATTAGGTATTTTATTTCATTTAAACTGGATTGTTTACATACATTCAAGTACCTACCTGTATTACGTTGGACAACTATATTTTATTTACTGTAATGTAGCATAATCCAAACTAATGTTATAAATGCAAAAATAACTCTGTCTGTCTTTCTTTTATTTAACTTTGAAATTTGGTACAGACATAGATTGGAACTCGAAAACGGCCATAGGATAGTTTTTTAACCAAAAATCTGCTGAGCTAAGTCACTATTACACGCGAACAAAGTCGCGGGCAAAAGCTGGTATACTAATATAATGAACGGAAAAATTGTAAGTGTGGATTGATGATTGTTACTCTTTCACGTAAAAGTTATTGAAGAAGTCCGAATGAAATTTGAGATAGGCCAAAATGTCTTCTTTTGCCCAGGGTTAGGTGAGAGGGAGTGACGGACTCTTACTGACTTAAATCACCCTGTTCCTTCTCCTGCTCCAGGCCGGGGCTAGTATACCTTATTGCGCGGGTGAATAAATTATAGTCTGAAATAATAAATGTGCTAATCCTTAACCTGGTACTTTAGGTAAAGCCACTGGTAGAAACTTCTGTTAAATATTTATATAAATTTGAGGAAGTTAGTTAAATTAAAAATAGGAAAATGGATGATTCTGTTTTTATTAAAAAAAACGTTGCCCCACTGTAAAATTTTCTCCTGTGTCCTGGGTGTGGTTACAAATATACAATTTCACATACACTTGACACCCAGACCAGATCACACAAAGAGTTGTACTGTGCGGGAGTCGAACAGTTGTCCAGCCACCGCACCAACCGCGCAGTTGTCTCTTAAAATCCTCTTCGAAAAACAAATATCCTGCCAAGGAGTTCTTGTCTACGTATTCTAATCCATTGCCGCCTCTAGAGACCATTCTTCATCGTTTGTTCAGCAAGCTATATTGCCATTGCATTAAGGTTGCTAATTGTACATTTTTTTAATTGCAGCTGTACATGAGCTGGAAGAGTCGTGTGTGAGACAAGGTGGTCTCTGCGTCATGAAATCTGACTGTCCACCCGAAAACATCGTGTTCCTTTCTGGCACACTCTGTCCAAAACAACAACACTTAGGCGTCACGTGCTGTTACGTAAGTACCAACGTATTACTATAATATTTGAAATAAAATAGCTAACTAACTTTACTCACACTTTAATAAATGTATGTTCTCTCCTCATCGATCCCTCACTGAAAAATCTTGAAAAAAAGATTACATAAACTTTATTTTATTTTATGTGTTTATTTAAAAAAATAGTGATGTTATGGATATGACATTTCGGATATGTATATAGGAATGATTGTTATGCTGGATACGGTGACGTACGGATATGAAATTATTTCGGAAAATCCGTTACTTTCGGATAATTTCGGTTGCGGGTATTAAAATTTTAAGTAATTTCAAAAGTACAAACATACCGTGTCTAAATGAGGCTCCGCCCCTATCCGATAATATCCGAAACTTTTTCGGATTCGGTTACAGTTACGGATATTTTTTTATATCGGATATCAGATAGTTTCAATTAAGGTTAAGGAGCTCTCTAACATCATCCTTGATACAAAGCATACAGGGCAAAATTCATACGAAAAAAAATATAATAAAATATTATAATGACTTATGTAAACTATTATTATATTTTAACTGACATATTATTATGTCATGACACAATTTGCGCCCCTAATTTCTTCTTTATGATGTCTGCTTCCGAGCCTTTGGTCTGCCACCCCTCGGAAACCTTGCGCCCTGAACACTAGCCGAGTTGGCTACCCCAAACCAAAAAGTCTGCTTGAAAACATTTTTGACAAAGTTACTTCATAGTAACTTACATTTGGTCCTATGAGAATAGCCAAAATCCACCTCAATCTTTTTCTATTAAACAAGTACTACTACTACTAAACAAGTACTATCACATCCCTAATTGTTTCGATTTTAGCAAAAAAGGCCTCGTTTTTTGTACATCGTTACTGTATTGTCAGCCTTTGGAAAATATTTAAAGCAATATAGCTACCAATGCTACTATTAAAATAACTGTATAATACGACAAAATTAAAAACGAGCGATTTTAAAAATATAATAAAACCCTAATCATCTACTTTTTCACATACTTATAAATTGACGTGTAAAAGTGCCATTTTTTGGCGTATTTGCAAAAATAAATTCATTGTTTCATTAATAATTGAAAGTTGACAAAAAATTAAGTATAATTCGCAATAAGTCAATTTCTTAATGAGTCTTTTAGGCTTAATCAAATATTAAAGCAAGTATGTTAAGCAAACTAAAGCTGATTCATAATTAATTAATTTAATATTATTTTCTTTTCAGTTGTGAGCTGAACATGACAGCAGCAGACTCCATCCGCGTACTTACCTATAATTAATTGTTAAGGATTTAATACTTAATTAGCTGTAAGGTAATTTAAGCTCCTGTAAGATTTACTTAATTACCTAGTTACTGGTCCGTGCTATATCAGAAACTCATTATGAGTCTTTATTATAATAATGAATTAAGAATCTCCGCTTGAAATGTGTGTCCGCCTGTCCGTTTTTTCGTCACACAATCTTATTACAATGAACTACGTAAATATTTGTAACCTCATAGTGTCAAAAACAATTTAAATGTAGCTTTCTATATTTACTTATGAAACGATTGGTTTCGACTTTATAGACTAGTAAATAGGTACAAAATAATAAATAATTGGCTGTAGGGATGTTTGGTGAACGTCGTATACATAGCAAACCATTCAATGTTGTTATCATGAAAACTAAATGTGGGTTTAAAATCACAACTCAAACAAAGAGTTCCAATATTTAATTGTTTCACTAACGTCTATATTCACAAGTTTAATTAAAGCTCGTTAAATATACAAAAGTAAAATATTTCTGAAACAAAATTAGTCGCCATCCCCTCATAAAGTAAATTGTTTTCTATTATTTCAATTAATTGACAATGCAACCAACCATTTTTCTACCCATTAACAACCTACTGAATAAGGCACGGAACCCAGAACCAGTAAAAGTAACATTAATTACTATTATTATTTAATGTTAAACAAAGAAATTGTAATTTAGGTATTAATGTGTCAAATTGACTTATTTACTTAAATAAATGTAAGTTGAATTGTTTATTTTTTTATTTATTAACCGGATTAGCGGTTTTTATTTTGCACGGTTTTTTGCACCTAACCGTACGCATTCTAACTGTTGTGTTCTACATCTTCTCTTAAGAGTAGTAAGAAATTATTATTCTTCTTTCCTCTTCTAAAATAATATTCTCTTATGAAACTCTTCTTTACCTTTCATTTTAGTCCCTTTTGAAAGACCCTACTTGTATAATGCAAAAACAAATGTACTATTGAAACCTGAAAGCATTCATTTGTTTGTAGTTCAGTTCCTTAGTAGCGTTATTTTTGTAATTCCTACGAAGAAGAACGATTATGTGCCTATATACTTGTATATACCTAAATGCATATTTCATCAGAAATAAAGATGTTATTCTGTGTCAATACACCTAGTATTAGTTTTTCTATAAAGAATTCCATAGACATACCCTTCTGTAGCCTTAATATTAGCATCCAAACTCAACAATAGGCCGCTAACTGAGAAATGCCCGCAGGCGCATTTCAATAGTGCATACTGCGATAATTGCCAGTCGGTGTCCCATTTCAATTAAATTCAAAAGTAGTACGGATACCTAGACGTGAATAGAGAATATAATTATAATGAAAAAATGAAGCAAACGTTTAAAAAATGAAAATATCCTCTATTAACAAGTCTGAAGGTATATTATTAAATAGTCTGAAGGCATATTATATAAAAATCTGTGTAAATACATAATTGTTAGTGCTACCGTCTGATTACAGAGACACCTCGTTCAAAATTATAGGTCTGATAATAGTTGTCACTTGTGCTCAATTTTACAAGCTTGTTACTCTTACGTAAAATAATACTAATACTCCTATTTCAAGGTGCCATCTTTTTATTTTATTTTTTATTGGATCGGGAGCAAACGTGTAGACTCATTACTAAATGGTTGACGCCGCCTCTGGTCACCCGCAGCATCAGAGCAATTACATGTACCTACGTTGTCTGTTAAAAGGGGTACGTTCTTCAGTATTTAAGGCTTACCTTAGTCGTTAAGACACTATCCGAAAAAAAGGTTTAAGGAAAATCATGTTAAACCTCAAGCCAAGCAAGGTGGCCCAATCCTTCCCTTCCTCAAAATACTCCCCAATCTCCGAAATTCCTAATCGCCAAAAGGTCGGCAATGCACTCGTAACTCCTCTGTTGTTGAGGGTGTCCATGGGCAGCGCAGATTGCTTACCATCAGGTGATCCGTCTGCTCGTTTTCCAATCTTCTTCAGTTTAAGGGTAGACAGGTTGATTTTATGCTAAAGAAAGTGCATTAAAAATAATCTGCGAGTTGAAAAAATCCATCGTTCACGGTTTAAAAAAGTGGGATGGTTTTGAAGGGGTTCCGTTTCTACCCCCCTTAGTTCGTCAACCCAACAATGCAATTCGGCAGATTAAAATCCATTTATTATCAGAGATGCATTGGCCATTTATATTATAAGTTATCAATATTTGTCACGTTCGAGCAATCACTTAGCAATATTGGAGAACTATGGATTCCCACTTCCACCAACAGAGTAAGCGGGAATTAATTTGTTCAAAAATTTTAACTTGCATGGGGCATATAAATCAATATGTTTTACAGATAAAATGTCCTTTCCGAACTAGAAATAAAACATAAAATTATTAGAATAAAAAAATACCTAATAAGAATAATAACGTAAAAATATTGTTATTTTTCATTTCGAGTTTTGTTCAACAAACGCCATCTGTTATTTTAAGGGATAACTACGTTATAGTTGTTTTGTATCGTCAACAAGGAACCTTTTGTCAAAGACATTCTTCAGTCAAGTGAACTCAAGTGTAACTAGATGACCAAAGCCAATGGGCAAAGATAACATATAAACATAATTAGGTATCAGGATTTACACTACTTTTTATGTTTTTATATTAGTGATCGATGGTTTTGGCCGAAGCGTGACAATAATTGGTTTTTATAAAATTGAATATGATTATTACATAAACAATAATAAAATAAGTATTATATTCTAACTAGCTTCTGTCGCGCAGTGAAACTGCGTTAGAGTATTCGCTGCTCGGCTCCTACAAATCGTAGCGTGATGTTTAATAGCTTTTCTCGATAAATGTACTAACAGACAGAAAAATAATTATCCAATTCGAACAAGAAGGAGATTAGCGCGTTCAAACAAACAAAATTTCAAGCTTTATAATATGAGTATAGATATCTAAGATTAAACTACGAAAACTTTGACTAACAAACAAAATAATACTCAAGCTATTTAAATTATTGTTTAGTCTTTGTTCATTTTTTGTTTTGAAATTCGTATACATTTCAGTCTAAAACTGTAGTACACCCACTGCTAGACGAACGCCTTTTCTCCCATGCACTTTGGTGGATCACGAAACTTGCTCAATGTTTTGGCGATTTCAGACCATTATCTATTTTTAATCCTCGACGCTAAAAATACCTACTGGATGTTATAAGTCTGATTGTAATAACTTCAGGTTTGTCTATTTATATATTTCATTTATTTGTCACTTAAGGAAATATTAGTATAACCTAGTATTCTGTGAGATGAGGCCTTTTCTCAGCAGTGGGCACTTAAAGGTTGATAATGTGCTAGGTGTGTATTAGAAAATATATATAAGAAAATATTAAAGAACACTTGTTTTTTTTTAATATGTCATATAAAGCGCGTTCAGTGGCAGCATTGAAACGCCTGAAAGTTCAATGATTTTCACTAGCACAGGCCCAATCCTTCCCGTACCCTATCCCTCCCCAATCCTTAAATATCCGAAAACGTAGTCCTTAAACAGCCGGTTCATGGGCGGCGCCGATTGCTTACCACCTGGTAATTGTTTTGCTCGTTTGCCGACTTATTTCATAAAGAAACACTTTGAAAATCTTTAAAACTATTTGTTTTTTTCCTGTTAGTCAGTTATTAATGATTAGTTTAATTCATAATTAATAAATAAATGTGTTTAGTCCCTATTGAGGGACAACCACAATACTAATACTGAAATGGCATCTCGTATTTCTCTGCTGAACTTTCGTCCACTATCACCTGATGGTACCTAAGTAAGTCAAAAGGAGGCAACAGAAAAAGGAGACAGGCGAGTTACCAATCTTTAAAAAACAGTTGCATCTACTTACAAATTCATTAGGTCACAATATATAAACTCTGAACGACCATTTCTGAAGCACAGAAATGAAGAAGAAGAAGCTGTAATAAAACTTAAAATACTTCCTAGCACTTAGTCAGGTAGTCATAATATTGATTTTTACAAGCCAGTATTATTGCCAAAGAAAGCAATAGAAACACAAATTAATACAGACTGAAAAAAGGCATTTGTTCATAGTCTGAAAAAGACCTAAGTTACAATCGTGCGGGGTCGGTTAGATAGCGAAGCAGGGTAGCGAACTAGCGGAGCGAGTAGCGGGTTGATCTGTAGTCGCGTCACTTCTCGCCTTGAAGTCGTCGCGAACGCGCGCGTTTTCTGCTTGCTCGTAGCACGGGCAAAGTTCCGGTCACCGATCGCTAACCGCTGCAGCAATTCCGTTCCATCCGTATCGACGAAAGGTAAGCCATTTATTCCTTTTTTATTTCTAAAACAATGTTAGTATTTTTTATATTATTAATCCAGTTATATAATATTAATTATTATATTAATTATTATAATAGTTCAAACAACTGCAGAACTAGGTTATTTTGTCTAGTTCTAGTAAACTTTAAGTTGATAAGTTTAGGTATAGATTTGATTTTATGTTTTAACTTGTTTATTACATAATTAAGTCGGGTAAAAAAGGAATATTCGTATTACACATTAATAAAGTTACTGTCGCGACAGAGTTTATATACAATTTGTCAATCTTCTTCTAAGGAATAAAATATTTATATTATAAGAAATGAAACCGGATTGGACATTATAGTGAAATTGTAACATTAATATAAAATTCTATTTTAGGTAGGGGTATTCACAGAAAGATAGTGACAAAAAAAATTCAAAACATTGTTCTTAAGAGTAACTAGGATAAACATTTATAAATAACTTATAATAGTGATTCTGAAGAAAGTGAGAAGAAATATAATAGCCGAGAATTGTAAATTATTTACGATACTTTTACTTTCTTTGTTAAATGTAGATAAGCTCTTTCTTTTATTTACTTACCATATAAATTTACTCCATATTTTTGCCTTAAAATAATTTCAATTTATACAAAACTCACATGTAGCAGTTTACGACACAAAAAGAAAATAGTTCCGTCTAAGAAACTTTCAGGTACTTTATTATAATATAAGCACAATGCCACTGTAGTAAGTTCGATATTCTTTAAGGAATGCTTATAATTTTAATTATGTAAGACGTAGTAAGAATAAATAAGGAACATATTTTAGTGGGTACAATAATAACATATTTGCGCTGCTAAGTGAAAGAGAACGGGTTCTTATAGAATTTAGAGATGAATTTCCAATATCTGTAAAAAAAACTATTTTAAAAAGCGTAGATACTAGTAACTTTTTTCACTTCAAGCTGTCGAAATAAAAAAAGTTTAAAATTGATGTTTTACTACTTATATATGTATTAGTATGGTTTTCCTGAAAAACCTTGATAAATCATTAGTTATAGGTCGTTTTTGATATATTCTGAAGGAAATTTAACAATAAGTTCTCCTTAATCAGGCTGTTTGAAGT